CACAGACTACATTATCATCTGCATACTGGAGTTCTATAACAGACATAGGTCTTCTTCCGAATGCAGAGTACGTTATCATTGGCATATTGGAGTTCCATAACAGGCATTGTAGGTCTTTTTCTGAATGTGCAGATTACGTTATCATTGGCATGCTGTAGTTCCACAACAGACATTGTAGGTCTTCTGAGTGCGCACAGACTACATTATCATCTGCATACTGGAGTTCTATAACTGACATAGGTCTTCTTCCGAATGCACAGAGTACGTTATCATTGGCATATTGGAGTTCTATAATGGACGTTGGAGGTCTTATTCTGAATGCACATAGACTATGTTATCATTGGCATACTTAAGTTCCATAACAGATGTTGGAAGTCTTCTGAATGTGCACAGATTGCATTATCATCAGCATGTTGCAATTCTATAACTGACGTTGGAGGTCTTCTGAATGCGCACAGACTACATTATCATTGGCATACTTTAGTTCTATAACTGACATAGGACTTCTTCCGAATGCACAGAGTACATTATCATCAGCATATTGGAGTTCCACAACAGACTTTGTAGTTCTTCTGAATGCGCACAGACTACGTTATCATTGGCATACTGAAGTTCCATAACAGACATTGTAAGTCTTCTGACTACATTATCATTGGCATATTGGAGTTCTATAACAGAAGTTGAAAGTCTTGTGAATGTGCACAGACTACGTTATCATCTGCATACTGGAGTTCTATAACTGACATAGGTCTTCTTCCGAATGCACAGAGTACGTCATCATTGGCATACTGGAGTTCTATAACAGATATTGTTATATATGGATATGTGTATATGTGTGTGTGTGGATATAAATATATTATTCTATTTAATAATGCTACTGCTAATAATAATAACAGAACACTTTGGAGTTCTATAACACTCAGAAGACCTACAATGTCTGTTATGGAACTTCAGTATGCCAATGATAACATAGTCTGCGCATTCAGAAGAAGACCTCCAATGTCAGTTATAGAAATGCAATAAAAGACTTTGTAGGTCTTCTTCTGAATGCGCATACACTACGTTATCATTGGCATATTGGAGTTCCATAAGACTTTGTAGGTCTTCTTCTGAATGTACAGAGACTACGTTATCATTGGCATATTGGAGTTCCATAAGACTTTGTAGGTCTTCTTCTGAATGTACAGAGACTACGTTATCATTGGCATATTGGAGTTCCATAAGACTTTGTAGGTCTTCTTCTGAATGTACAGAGACTACGTTATCATTGGCATATTGGAGTTCCATAAGACTTTGTAGGTCTTCTTCTGAATGTACAGAGACTACGTTATCATTGGCATATTGGAGTTCCATAAGACTTTGTAGGTCTTCTTCTGAATGTACAGAGACTACGTTATCATTGGCATATTGGAGTTCCGTAAGACTTTGTAGGTCTTCTTCTGAATGTACAGAGACTACGTTATCATTGGCATATTGGAGTTCCGTAAGACTTTGTAGGTCTTCTTCTGAATGTACAGAGACTACGTTATCATTGGCATATTGGAGTTCCATAAAAGACTTTGTAGGTCTTCTTCTGAATGTACAGAGACTACGTTATCATTGGCATATTGGAGTTCCGTAAGACTTTGTAGGTCTTCTTCTGAATGTACAGAGACTACGTTATCATTGGCATATTGGAGTTCCGTAAGACTTTGTAGGTCTTCTTCTGAATGTACAGAGACTACGTTATCATTGGCATATTGGAGTTCCGTAAGACTTTGTAGGTCTTCTTCTGAATGTACAGAGACTACGTTATCATTGGCATATTGGAGTTCCGTAAGACTTTGTAGGTCTTCTTCTGAATGTACAGAGACTACGTTATCATTGGCATATTGGAGTTCCGTAAGACTTTGTAGGTCTTCTTCTGAATGTACAGAGACTACGTTATCATTGGCATATTGGAGTTCCATAAGACTTTGTAGGTCTTCTTCTGAATGTACAGAGACTACGTTATCATTGGCATATTGGAGTTCCATAAAAGACTTTGTAGGTCTTCTTCTGAATGTACAGAGACTACGTTATCATTGGCATATTGGAGTTCCGTAAGACTTTGTAGGTCTTCTTCTGAATGTACAGAGACTACGTTATCATTGGCATATTGGAGTTCCGTAAGACTTTGTAGGTCTTCTTCTGAATGTACAGAGACTACGTTATCATTGGCATATTGGAGTTCCATAAGACTTTGTAGGTCTTCTTCTGAATGTACAGAGACTACGTTATCATTGGCATATTGGAGTTCCGTAAGACTTTGTAGGTCTTCTTCTGAATGTACAGAGACTACGTTATCATTGGCATATTGGAGTTCCATAAGACTTTGTAGGTCTTCTTCTGAATGTACAGAGACTACGTTATCATTGGCATATTGGAGTTCCATAAAAGACTTTGTAGGTCTTCTTCTGAATGTACAGAGACTACGTTATCATTGGCATATTGGAGTTCCGTAAGACTTTGTAGGTCTTCTTCTGAATGTACAGAGACTACGTTATCATTGGCATATTGGAGTTCCATAAGACTTTGTAGGTCTTCTTCTGAATGTACAGAGACTACGTTATCATTGGCATATTGGAGTTCCATAAGACTTTGTAGGTCTTCTTCTGAATGTACAGAGACTACGTTATCATTGGCATATTGGAGTTCCATAAGACTTTGTAGGTCTTCTTCTGAATGTACAGAGACTACGTTATCATTGGCATATTGGAGTTCCGTAAGACTTTGTAGGTCTTCTTCTGAATGTACAGAGACTACGTTATCATTGGCATATTGGAGTTCCATAAGACTTTGTAGGTCTTCTTCTGAATGTACAGAGACTACGTTATCATTGGCATATTGGAGTTCCATAAAAGACTTTGTAGGTCTTCTTCTGAATGTACAGAGACTACGTTATCATTGGCATATTGGAGTTCCGTAAGACTTTGTAGGTCTTCTTCTGAATGTACAGAGACTACGTTATCATTGGCATATTGGAGTTCCATAAAAGACTTTGTAGGTCTTCTTCTGAATGTACAGAGACTACGTTATCATTGGCATATTGGAGTTCCGTAAGACTTTGTAGGTCTTCTTCTGAATGTACAGAGACTACGTTATCATTGGCATATTGGAGTTCCGTAAGACTTTGTAGGTCTTCTTCTGAATGTACAGAGACTACGTTATCATTGGCATATTGGAGTTCCGTAAGACTTTGTAGGTCTTCTTCTGAATGTACAGAGACTACGTTATCATTGGCATATTGGAGTTCCATAAGACTTTGTAGGTCTTCTTCTGAATGTACAGAGACTACGTTATCATTGGCATATTGGAGTTCCATAAAAGACTTTGTAGGTCTTCTTCTGAATGTACAGAGACTACGTTATCATTGGCATATTGGAGTTCCATAAGACTTTGTAGGTCTTCTTCTGAATGTACAGAGACTACGTTATCATTGGCATATTGGAGTTCCATAAGACTTTGTAGGTCTTCTTCTGAATGTACAGAGACTACGTTATCATTGGCATATTGGAGTTCCATAAGACTTTGTAGGTCTTCTTCTGAATGTACAGAGACTACGTTATCATTGGCATATTGGAGTTCCGTAAGACTTTGTAGGTCTTCTTCTGAATGTACAGAGACTACGTTATCATTGGCATATTGGAGTTCCGTAAGACTTTGTAGGTCTTCTTCTGAATGTACAGAGACTACGTTATCATTGGCATATTGGAGTTCCATAAAAGACTTTGTAGGTCTTCTGAATGAGCACAGACTACGTTATCATCGGCATATTGGGAGTTTCTAACAGATATTCACAAAGTCGGGTCACAACAGTCCATTTTATTTAGTGCGGAAAAATACGGAAGTAACAGAATAAACCAAAAGCTTCCACAACTTTTGGGGGAAAATCCTTTCCGTTTCTAGAAAAATAACCCGTCTATTTCAACTAGAAAACATAGTTCGGCATTCTTCGTCCGGGAAGAAATATTTGAATATTTTGCATATATAATTAACTCTCCATTAATTAGCCAAAAAAAAAAAGGACGAAAAAATACTTTAAATAAATATTAAAAATCCATGTTTAGTGCAGGAAAGCGAGTGTTGCATTGAGTTAGCTTTCTTAATTAGCCTATGTGTGCATTGGAATATTAATATCGCATCAGGGAATGGTATAGTATTCGTTAGGCTGATTATTATTATTATTATTATTATTATTATTATTATTATGTGGAAAAAAATCTGGAAATATTCTATAAGAGTATATTTAAAATATGAATTATTATTATTATTATTAAGTGGGAAAAATCTGGAAATATTCAATTAAAATGTATTTAAAATAATAATAATAATAATAATAATAATAATAATAATAATGTGTGGAAAAATCTGGAAATATTAAATAAGAATATAATTGAAATAATAATAATAATTATAATTATTATTATTACATGGGAAAAAAATATGGAAATATTCAATAAGAGTATATTTAAAATATCTATTATTATTATTATTACGTGGGAAAATCTGGAAATATTCTATTAAAATATATTTAAAATAATAATAATAATAATAATAATTGTGTGGAAAAATCTGGAAACATTAAGAGTACATTTAAAATATGAATTATAATAATTATTGTGTGGAAAAATTTTGGAAATATTAAATAAGAATATATTTAAAATAATAATTATTATTGCATGAAAAAAATGGAAATATTCAATGAAAATATATTTTAAATTATTATTATTATTATTATTATTATGGGGAAAATCTGGAAATATTCAATAAGAGTATATTTAAAATATCTATTATTATTATTATTATGGGGAAAATCTGGAAATATTCAATAAAATGTGAATAATAATATTGTGTGAAAAATGGAAAATATTCAATAAAATATATTGTGAAAAATGGAACATATTAAATAAAATATATTTAATAATAATAATAATAATAATATTTCTGTGCTGTGAAAAAATTGGAAATATTCAATGAAAATATATTTTAAATTATTATGGAGAAAATCAGGAAATGTTCAATACAATTTTAATAATAATAATAATGTGTGAAGAGTTGAAAATATTCAATAAAATATATTTAATGATAATAATATTTCTGTGAAAAAAATTGGAAATATTCAATTAAAATATTATTATTATTATTATTATTATTATTATTATTATTATTGTGTGGAAAAAACCTGGAAATATTGAATTCAAATATATACTTAATAATCATAATAATAATTATAATCACCTTCCTAACCTATTGCTTGCTGGGTCCTGAATCCGGTTCTTTGACTTCATTATTATTATTATTATTATTATTATTATTATTATTATTATTATTAGCCTTCCAAATAAATAGGGTTTAAGTTTTGACCTAATTTCAGAGAAAATAATAATTTCTTCTCAGAATAAATACTGCAGCTTCTTAATGGTTTCCAAACCGAGTCCAAACTGAGTCCGAGGCTCCTTGTCGTCCGATTGGTCATTTCGGAGACATCAAATTAATTAATCCCTGGTTGCTAATTAATCCACGACGGCGGAGCTACACATAGTGTTCATGCCACAGGCTCGGCTTCCACGGTACAAATAGTAGTAGCCCTGGAAAAAAGACATAATAATAATAATAATAGCAACAACAACAACAGTAAAAACTCTTCAGAGTTTCCCTATGGAGAAAAAAAGTGGGGTATAAATAAACATAATAATAATAATAATAATAATAATAATAATAATAATAATAATAATAATAAAAAGCTGTTTTGAGTCTCCTTATGGATATAAATGAACATAATAATAAATAATAAAAATACATATTCACTTGTTTGTGGAGATAAAAAGGGGGATATAATAATAATAATAATAATAATAATAATAGATACTCGCAGGAACACGTCAGCAAGCGAGAGTCCAAAAGTGGCAGGCTAAAACCTGAAACCTCAACCCATGTGTTACTGTGAGTTTTTCGAGCTGTCTGGCCATGTTCCAGAAGCATTCTCTCCTGACGTTTCACCCATGTCTACGGCTTGCTGTGAGTTTTCTGGGCTGTCTGGCCATGTTCCAGAAGCATTCCCTCCTGACATTTCACCCACGTCTATGGCAGGCATCCTCAGAAGTTGTGGGTGGGAAAAAGAACTATTGTTTGCTGGAGGGAAGTGTGAATGTTGCCATTGGTCACCTTGATAAGCACTGAATAGCCTTGCAGCTTTAAAGCCTGGCTGCTTCCTGCCTGGGGGAATCCTTTGTTGGGAGGCGTTAGCCTGGAAAACTCACAGCAACCCAGTGATTCTGGACATGAAAGCCTTCGACAACACAGGATATATTCCTTTCCTTTTTCCTCCTTTATCCGATTTGTTGTCGATCTGCTTTGTTGTTGGTAATAATAATAATAATTATTATTATTATTATTATTAATAATAATAATAATTATTAATAATAATAATAATAATAACTTTGTGTTGCTGTGAGTTTTCCAGGCAGTCTGGCCATGTTCCTGAAGCATTATATCCTAATAACAATAATAATAATAATAATAATAATAATAAGTCATACTGTAGGATCTATATAGCAATATTAAATAACTACTCACAAGCCGGCTTGCTTTGAAATGGATATATTGCTTGTTTCTTTGCAACAAAGAAAGACACTACTGACTTTTTCCCACCAGGAGGTCATGGAGGGAACTTGTGATGTCTTCATGCCGTCAGAAATTGACTCCTGACATAATAATAGTAATAATAATAATAATAATAATAATAATAATAATAATAACGTACCTTTTCTCCCCAGTCTTCGCCCCAACTGTTCTTGATGGCCCAGAACGGAAGCGTCCCACCTGGGAAAGGGAAGGCAGGTTCATTTCATTGATATTTACCAATCAATCAATCAATTGATGAAGCCATTGATCAGATCACAAATTTGCTTTGGAACAACACTATTCCAACCTCAAGTCAAGACAGAGTATAGTAGACGAGTGATGGCCGTTGTACTTACGCGTGCCATAGCCCACCAAGAGGACGGCGTGGTCTATCATCCACGGGTTGCAAAGGAGGAAGAAGGGATGGGAGACGCCCTTCCTGTAGAACTGCAGAAAATGGGAATTAGAAATAATTGAAAATATGAGTATTGTATGTGTGTGATATATATATATATACATATATGAACAGTATGGACAAACCCCTTCTATAAGAGACATTGGTCTCAAATAATAATAATAATAATAATAATAATAATAACAACAACAGCAGGATTGCAGAGAAACAACTAGCATAATAATAAAGCATTTGACTCACTGCCACATTGTTGGATTATCAAATGTCTAGATGTCATCGGGGTTTGTGAAAACAACTGAGGATTTAAAGATCGAACTGCAAAGACTCAAGGGGACAGTATAATAAGAACAGTATGGACAAACCCCTTCTATAAGAGACATTGGTCTCATAATAATAATAATAATAATAATAATAATAATAATAATAGTAATAATAACAATAATAATAATAATAATTTAAAGCATTATTATTGTTTTATATATATTTTCAAATAGTATGGACAAACTCTTCATAAAAGAGACTTTGGTCTCCTTTGGGAGAGATATAAATCAACACAATAATAATGGTAATAATGATGATGATATAAGAGGACAGCTGCTTTGAGTCCCCTTAGGAAGAGATAACGTAGGGTATAAAAAAACAATAATAGTAATAGTAATAGTAATAATAATAATAATAATAATAATAATAATAGATAGCTTCTTTGAGTCTCCTTAGGGAGAGAAAAAGGGGGATATAAATACTACTACTACTACTATTACTACTAATAATAATACTAATATTTACATATCTGCTGAGTCACCTTAGGAAGAGATAAATAAACAACAACAGTAGTAGTAGTAGTAATAATAATAATAGATAGCTCCTTTGAGTCTCCTTAGGGAGAGAAAAGAGGGGATATAAATACTCCTACTACTACTAATAATAGTTACATAGCTGCTTTGAATTTCCTTTGGAAGAGATAAAGCGGGGTATAAATAAACAATAATAATAGTAATAATAATAATAATAGCTTCTTTGAGTGGAAGAGATAAAGCGGGGTATAAATAAACAATAATAGTAATAATAATAATAATAATAATAATAATAATAATAATAATAATAATAGATAGCTTCTTTAAGTCTCCTTAGGGAGAGAAAAAGGGAGATATAAATACTACTACTACTACTACTACTACTACTAGATACACAGCTTCTTTGAGTCCTTTGGAAGAGATAAAGCGGGGTATAAATAAACAATAATAGTAATAGTAATAATAATAATAATAATAATAATAATAATAGATAGCTTCTTTGAGTGGAAGAGATAAAGCGGGGTATAAATAAACAATAATAATAGTAATAATAATATTATTATTTTGAGTCTCCTTAGGGAGAGATAAAGTGGGGTATAAATATTAATAATAGTAATAATAATAGATTCACAGCTGCTTTGAGTCTCCTTTGGGAGACGTAAAGTGGGGTATATATAAACATAAACATAATAATAATAATAATAATAGTAATAATAATAATCTTGTTATTTTTGCTTCTGACTCAGGACGGAGGCTCCTGGACCCCGTTTCTCATGACGCAGAGAAGGATATGAATATTTATGGCAAGTATTGAATATTTACATGTAATATATATATATATAAGTATATATATTGTAATGAAAGGCAGGGGGAAGAGGGCCACTCCACCTGCATGGCGAAGGCGTTGAGGGCGATGGAGATGGGCCCGTGCTTGGCCAGCCAGGCGGCGATCTCTGAAAGAACCAAAGAACGAAAGAACGAGGTTCAAATCAGGGGAGGAATGCCCCGCCAAGCCCTGCAGTCGCGCTCAAAACGGTCCCCAGTCGAAACGGACCTTTCTCGTCCCGAGAGATGGCCACGGAGCTGTTGATGTAAACGGCCACCTTCTCCTTGGAGAAGTTACATTTCTGCTCAAAGCCCTCGTAGCTGTAGTCGCCCTCCGTCTCCAGGCCGCCTGGGAAAAGGGAAAGGAAGGAAGAAGGTTGGAATCGAAATGAATGTGCACAGACTACGTTATCATCGGCATATTGGAGTTCCATAACAGACACGGTCAGTCTTTTTCTGAATGTGCACAGCGGTTCTCAAACAGTGCTCCGAGGAGCCCCTGGGGTTGGTTGTATTATTAATATTATATTACTATTAATTATATTATTACATTACTATTACTATTATTATATTACTATTAATTATATTATTATTACGTTACCATTATTATATTACTATTATTCATATTATTACTACATTACTATTACTGTTAATTATATTATTATATTACTATTAATTATATTATTACATTATTATTACTATTATTATATTACTATTATTATTACATTACTATTACTAATTATATTACTATAATTATATTATTTTATTATATTATAATTATATTACTATTAATTATTATTATTAATTATTATTAATTATTACTATTATTATTAATTATTATATTACTATTACTTATTATTATATTACTATTAATTATATTATTATTACATTACTATTACTATTATTATTACTATTAATTTATTATTATTTTATTACTATTATTATATTACTATTATTTTACATTACTATTATATATATTATATTACTATTAATTATATTATTTATTACATTTATATATTATATACTATTAAGTTTAGTATTATTAATTATTATTATATTATATTATATTATTAATTATTTATTATATTACTATTATATATTATATGTATTTATATTATTAATATTACTATTAATTTTATTATTACATTATTATTATTATTATTACTATTATTATTCTATTATATTACTATATATTATTTACATTATAGTACTATTACTATTAATTTTATTATTATATTACTATTAATTATATTATTATTACATTACAATTACTATTATTATATTAATATTTATATTATTATTACATTATTATTATATTATTATATTACGATTACTATTATTATATTACTATTAATGTTATTATTATATTACTATTACTATTACTATTACATTACTATTAATTATATTATTATATTACTATTAATTATATTATTATATTACTATTATTATTAATTACATTATTATTCTATTACTATTATTATTAATTATATTATATTATTATTCTATTACTATTACTATTATTAATTATATTATTTCTGTTGTTAAAACAAAGGCAGGCTGGCCATCTGTTGGGGTGCTCTGATTGTGCTTTTCCTGCTTGGTAGAAGGGGGTTGGACTGGATGGCCCCTGGAGTTGCTTCTATTATTATTATTATTATTATTATTATTATTATTATTATTATTATCCATTTAAGGTAGAATCGGGTGTCAAACAGGGATGAGTGATTGCCCCAACAAAGTGGAAATCATCTATCGGACAGATGACAAGCCAAAAGCAACATCTGTTATAGAACTTCAATATGCTGATGATAACGTAGTCTGTGCACATACAGAAAAAGACCAACAATGTATGTTATGGAACTCCAATATGTCGATGATAACGTAATCTATGCACATTCAGAAGACCAATAATGTCTGTTATGGAATTCCAATATGCCGATGATAACATAGCCTGTGCACATTCAGAAAAAGACCAACAATGTATGTTATGGAACTCCAATATGCCGATGATAACACAGCCTGTGCACATACAGAAAAAGACCAACAATGTATGTTATGGAACTCCAATATGTCGATGATAACGTAATCTATGCACATTCAGAAGACCAATAATGTCTGTTATGGAATTCCAATATGCCGATGATAACATAGCCTGTGCACATTCAGAAAAAGACCAACAATGTATGTTATGGAACTCCAATATGCCGATGATAACATAGCCTGTGCACATTCAGAAAAAGACCAACAATGTCTGTTATGGAATTCCAATATGCTGATGATAACGTAGTCTGTGCACATTCAGAAAAAGACCAATAATGTCTGTTATGGAACTCCAATATGCCGATGACAACGTCGCCTGTGCACATTCAGAAGAAGACCTACAAGCCACTCTCAACACCTTTGAAGAAGCATATGAGAAGCTCGGTCTCTTACTGAACATCAAGAAAACCAAAGTGCTCTTCCAGGAATCACGACGTTTCACGTTTCACAGGTGTATAGCAGAGTTGGGAACTCCAACTCTCCAAGGCCGGAAACACAGCTTAATGGTGTAACATTAGAAAATGTGGACCATTTCCTCTCCCTCGGCAGCCACCTCTCCACAAAAGTCAACATTGACACTGAAATACAACACCGCCTGAGCTCTGCGAGTGCAGCTTTTTTTTTCCGAATGAAGCAGAGAGTGTTTGAGGACTGGGACATCTATAGGAAGGTGCTTGTTGATAATGTTATTGTCCTCTCAACCCTACTATACGCCTGTGAAACGTGGACTGTCTACAGACGTCAACATTGAGACTGAAATACAATATCACCTGAGCTCTGCGAGCGCAGCTTTTTTCCGAATGAAGCAGAGAGTGTTTGAGGACCGGGACATCCGTAGGGAGGCCAAGGGGCTTGTTGATAATGTCATTGTCCTCTCAATTCTGCTCTACGCCTGCGAGACGTGGACTGTCTACAGACGTCAACATTGAGACTGAAATACAATACCACCTGGGCTCTGTGAGCGCAGCTTTTTTCCGACTGAAGCAGAGAGTGTTTGAGGACTGGGACATCTATAGGAAAATCAAGGTGCTTGTTGATAATGTCATTGTCCTCTCAACCCTGCTATATGCCTGCGAAACGTGGACTGTCTACAGATGTCAACACCGAAATACAACACCGCCTGAGCTCTGCGAGTGCAGCTTTTTTCCGAATGAAGCAGAGTGTTTGAGGACCGGGACATCCGTAGGGTCAAGAATCCCCGCCCTGTCCAGACTCACCCAGCCCCTCGATGGCTTCGTAGGCGTTGGAAGGCAGCCCCCCTCCGCAGGCCTGGTCCAAGGCGTCGCAGTCGAGCAATTCTGCAAAGGACGGGAGAATTAATACACGAGTGGCGATGGGACGGGAGACTCGTGCGCGCCTCCCTCGCAGGGCCGGCTCCCTCCCTACCTTGCTCCGAGAGCGAGACCAGGGAGCCCTTCTGCAGGAACCACTGCCCTTCCACGTTCCCCGTGACCGAGAACGCCCAGCAGGATCCACAAGCCCCCTGCACGGAGAGAGAACACAAGGCGGGATGGTCATCTGTCGGGAAAGCTTTGACAGTGCCTTCCTTTGTGGTCCTATATTATTTATTTCCTGTATATACTCGAGTATAAGCCTAGTTTTTCTGCCCCTTTTTTATTTGTGTGTATATATGTATGTATGTGGATATGTATGTGTATGTGTGTGCATGTGTATATGTCTTGGATCACACGTCGAACACTTCCCAAGTGTCTAGGACTGTGTGACGTGTCGGCGAATAATGCGTGCGGATCCCAGTAAGGTGGCCTTTTGTAGCAGATAGGTGGTGATTTTGTCGGCACCAATTGTGTTTAAGTGCAAGCCAAGGTCTTGAGGCGCTACACCCAGTGTGCAGATCACCACTGGGACCCCCTTGAGTGGCTTGTTCTAACATTTTCACAAACCCCGATGACATCTAGACATTTGAGAATCCAACAATGTGGCAGTGAGTCAAATACTATTATTATTATTATTAATAATAATAATAATAATAATAATAATAATATCATCTTGACAGCGCCGATTGTGTTCAAGTTCAGGCCAAGGTCTTGAGGCGCTGCACCCAGTGTGCTGATCACCACTGGGACCCCCTTGAGTGGCTTGTTCTAACATTTTCACAAACCCCGATGACATCTAGACATTTGAGAATCCAACAATGTGGCAGTGAGTCAAATACTATTATTATTATTATTAATAATAATAATAATAATAATAATAATAATATCATCTTGACAGCGCCGATTGTGTTCAAGTTCAGGCCAAGGTCTTGAGGCGCTGCACCCAGTGTGCTGATCACCACTGGGACCCCCTTGAGTGGCTTGTTCTAACATTTTCACAAACCCCGATGACATCTAGACATTTGAGAATCCAACAATGTGGCAGTGAGTCAAATACTATTATTATTAATAATAATAATAATAATAATAATAATAATAATAATATCATCTTGACAGCGCTGATTGTGTTCAAGTTCAGGCCAAGGTCTTGAGGCGCTGCACCCAGTGTGCTGATCACCACTGGGACCCCCTTAAGTGGCTTGTTCTAATATTTTCACAAACCCCGATGACATCTAGACATTTGATAATCCAACAATGTGGCAGTGAGTCCAGTGCCATCATAATAATAATAATAATAATAATAATAATAATAATAATAATAATGGATGCTCCTTCAACAGGCTGGCTGGCCATCTGTCGGGAGGGATTGGATAATAATAGGCATGGTGATGCCGCACCTGGTCCTTGACGGCCGTGACAGCCCCGTAGTCCCTCCAGTCCCATTCCTCCGGAGCTGGGTCCCCCGAGGTCGGGGCCACTTCCATGGGCCGGGTGGGCCGCTTGGCCAGCAGCGGGTTCAAGTACAGGGTGCGGAACTCCTCCTCTGGAAGGAGAGGAAAGAGGCAAGAAGGTGTCTCTTCTACAGAAGCAACATGCATATTGATCGCATGTTGACAATGTTGACGTGCTTTAATTATGATGTAACCGACCTCGAGCCACAAGGAGAGGCTGGTAAGAAATAAAATTATTATTATTATTATTATTATTATTATTATTACTACTACTACTACTACTATTATTGTTAATGGACTACAAGAAATAATAAGAATTATTATTATTATTATTATTACTACTACTACTACTACTATTATTGTTAATGGACTACAAGAAATAATAATAATAATAATAATAATAATAATAATAATAATAATAATAATTAATGGGCTACAAGCTGGACATAAGCCAAGAGGAGGGTAAGAAATAATAATAATAATAATAATAATAATAGTAATAATAATAATAATTAGTGTACTACAAGTGTACTACATTATTATTATTATTATTATTAGTGTACTACAAGTGGGCTACAAACTTGACATAAGCCAAGAGGGAAAGAAATAAAATTATTATTATTATTATTATTATTATTATTTATTAATGGGATACAAGCTGGACATAAGCCAAGAGGAAGGTAAGAAATAATAATAATAATAATAATAATAATAATAATAATAATAATAGGGCTACAAACTTGACATAAGCCAAGAGGGTAAGAAATAAAATTATTATTATTATTATTATTATTATTATTATTATTATTATTATTATTCATGGGCTACAAGCTGGACAGAAGCCAAGAGGAAGGTAAGAAATAAAATAATAATAATAATAATAATAATAATAATAATAATAATAGGATTTAGTATATTATTATTGTTTCTTAACTGCCTCTTGGCTTATGTCCAGCCTGTAGTACATTAATAATAATCCTAATAATAATGATTCTTACCCTCCCAGCTTCAATCCATCAATAATAATAATAACGATTATTTTATTTCTTACCTTCTTTTTGGCTTATTTCCAGCTTATAGCCCATTAATGATGATGATGATGATGATAATAATAATAATAATGGCTTATGTCCAGTTTGTAGCCCTATTATTATTATTATTATTATTATTAATGGACAGCAAGCTTCACATAAACCAAGAGTTGGGTAAGGAATAAAATTATTGTTCTTGTTGTTATTCTTATTATCATCATTATTATTCGGCTACGGTTGACTTCGTGGGACGCAGAAATTCCAGGGCAGACGTCATGCTTTCATGTCTGTTTATTAGGAGCGAACAGGCACTCCGCATTCAGTTCAGGCAACGTGGCTTTCAAGTACAGCTAGGCCTGCGTTCTCAAATTCTTGTTTCAAGGGCACTCAGTTCAGGCAACGTGGCTTTCAAGTACAGCTAGGCCTGCGTTCTCGAATTCTTGTTTCAAGGGCACTCAGTTCAGGCAACGTGGCTTTCAAGTACAGCTAGGCCTGCGTTCTCAAATTCTTGTTTCAAGGCCACTCAGTTCAGGCAACGTGGCTTTCAAGTACAGCTAGGCCTGCGTTCTCGAATTCTTGTTTCAAGGGCACTCAGTTCAGGCAACGTGGCTTTCAAGTACAGCTAGGCCTGCGTTCTCAAATTCTTGTTTCAAGGGCATTCAGTTCAGGCAACGTGGCTTTCAAGTACAGCTAGGCCTGCGTTCTCGAATTCTTGTTTCAAGGGCACTCAGTTCAGGCAACGTGGCTTTCAAGTACAGCTAGGCCTGCGTTCTCGAATTCTTGTTTCAAGGCCACTCAGTTCAGGCAACGTGGCTTTCAAGTACAGCTAGGCCTGCGTTCTCAAATTCTTGTTTCAAGGCCACTCAGTTCAGGCAACGTGGCTTTCAAGTACAGCTAGGCCTGCGTTCTCAAATTCTTGTTTCAAGGCCACTCAGTTCAGGCAACGTGGCTTTCAAGTACAGCTAGGCCTGCGTTCTCAAATTCTTGTTTCAAGGCCACTCAGTTCAGGCAACGTGGCTTTCAAGTACAGCTAGGCCTGCGTTCTCAAATTCTTGTTTCAAGGCCACTCAGTTCAGGCAACGTGGCTTTCAAGTACAGCTAGGCCTGCGTTCTCGAATTCTTGTTTCAAGGGCACTCAGTTCAGGCAACGTGGCTTTCAAGTACAGCTAGGCCTGCGTTCTCAAATTCTTGTTTCAAGGCCACTCAGTTCAGGCAACGTGGCTTTCAAGTACAGCTAGGCCTGCGTTCTCGAATTCTTGTTTCAAGGCCACTCAGTTCAGGCAACGTGGCTTTCAAGTACAGCTAGGCCTGCGTTCTCAAATTCTTGTTTCAAGGCCACTCAGTTCAGGCAACGTGGCTTTCAAGTACAGCTAGGCCTGCGTTCTCAAATTCTCGTTTCAAGTCTTGCTTTTGGATTTTAGCATTTTGGGAGTTCTCTGCGTTCTTGTTTCATATTCCTGTTCAAGTTTTGCTTACGGACTTAAGCCGCCTTTGTATTTTGGGACTACCTTCGTCCCGCTCTCTTCTGCTTTGGGGTGGACTGGATAGCCTTTGGGGTCCCTCCCATCCGCCTTAATTACCTGTTAAGTCGCTGAATTTGGTGACTCCGTATTCGGCGTTGCCGCGGTCCAGCTGCTGGATGACTCGGGCCTTCTCCAAGTTCTCAACGAAGATCTGGAAGCGCTTCTTGGCCTCTGCGCGAAAGAAGGGGATTAATTAATTGCCTTAATTAAAGAGCAGAAGCGTGACGATTGGACCGCCCCTTGGCTCACCCCTTTGGTCCTTGTAGCTCTTCTGATAGGTGGCCACAAAGTCCTTGAAAAGGGAGATCTGGCGGAGGGAATCGCCCTGCGGAGGAAAAGGGACGAGCCACAATAAATAAACCCTCACCCACAATAATATTAATATTTTTCTCCACTACAGACAACTCAGTGTTCCTGACTCTCTCCACTAGTGTGGAATTTGCATGACCCCACCCACTGCCTCTCCCTTCAACCTTTCCTACTCTTTTCTACGGCACACAGCAGAGGACAATTCCATCTTAGATTTCATGTGTTTCCTCCACTACAGACATCCCAGTGTTCCTACTCTTTTCTATGGTCCATGGCGAACAGAGGACAATTCCATCCTAGATTTCATATGTTTCCTCCACCAGAGACATCCCAGTGTTCCTGACTCTCTCCATTGGTGTGGAATTTACATGATCTATCCACCCTTTCCTACTCTTTTTTATGGCACACGGCGAACAGAGGAGAGGACAATTCCATCCTAGATTTCATGTGCTTCCTCCACCACAGACATCCCAGTGTTCCCACTGGGGTGGAATTTGCATGACTCCGCCCACTGCCTCTCTGCTAACTGTGACCAAGACTCTGTAGTGTAGTGTTTCCTCTTTGCCATGTGGCCAGAGCTCAAGAGGGTTTATTCAAGGTCAGAGGCTGGGATATGAAGTCTCTGCAAACTGTGACCAAGACTCTGTAGTGTTTCCCCTTTGTCAAGTGCTTGCTCTCTGCCATGTTTGACTCTTTGCCACGATCTCCCTGTATCGATAATCCATCGCCATCCTTGTCATGTGAGTGTCTTTCTAGGGTTGTGAGTATCTCTGTATACTGATAGCAGACCTGTAAAGAGTTGTTTGTATTGTCGAAGGCTTTCATGGCCGGAATCACTGGGTTGTTGTAGGTTTTTCGGGCTGTATGGCCATGTTTTAGAAGTATGTACGAGCAATTGAAGAATCAAAGGATTTGGGATGAAAGCCAGAGCTCAGGTGTGCTTATTCAAGCGGCGAGCTACTAAACAAGCCCAAGAGGCTGTGCTATAAACTCTATACTCACTGTGACCAAGATTCTGAAACTGTGTACTCACTGTGACCAAGACTCTCAAACTCTGTACTCACTGTGACCAAGATTCTGAAACTCTGTACTCACTGTAACCAAGACTCTCAAACTCTGTACTCACTGTGACCAAGATTCTGAAACTGTGTACTCACTGTAACCAAGACTCTCAAACTCTGTACTCACTGTGACCAAGATTCTGAAACTCTGTACTCACTGTAACCAAGACTCTCAAACTCTGTACTCACTGTGACCAAGACTCTGTAACTCTGTACTCACTGTGACCAAGACTCTCAAACTCTGTACTCACTGTGACCAAGACTCTGAAACTCTGTACTCACTGTGACCAAGATTCTGAAACTCTGTACTCACTGTGACCAAGATTCTGAAACTCTGTAGTCACTGTGACTAAGACTCTGAAACTCTGTACTCACTGTGACCAAGACTCTGAAACTCTGTAGTCACTGTCACCAAGACTCTGAAACTCTGTACTCACTGTGACCAAGACTCTGAAACTCTGTACTCACTGTGACCAAGACTCTGAAACTCTGTACTCACTGTGACCAAGACTCTGCAGTGGCTTTTTTTTTGGATCAGAACTGCTTGCCTTGGAGACAGACAATCCTATTGTGCAGCTGGAGGAGGAGTGAGACCGTGGGAAGATTGATTCACATGCCTACCCAGCAGGGGTGCTGTGTGTGTTTTGCTCGTCTTCTCGTTCACCCCCGCAACAGAGTCTAGACGGGCACCTACCTGCAAGTGCTTTTCCTCCTCCTCCGTATCCGGAGTTTTGGGGTGAAGCACCTCCCAGGCTCCCCATTCTGACACCTGGGCGATCTCAGAGGGCTCTGGAGGAGGAAGAGAAGAGAAAAAGGAACTTCCGAGACCGTTCCTTGACGACTTTTCGGTCATTTTGGACACTTTTCGGCTCGTCTTGCATTGCTTTGCTTTTCCCCTTTTTCGCTGTTGCGTTGACACTATTGACTCTGCTAACACTCCTACATCCTGGGTTGTTGTAGGTTTTTCGGGTTGTATGGCCACGTTCTAGTAGTATGTACAAGCAACCAAAGAATCAAAGGAGTTGGGATGAAAGCCAGAGCTCAGTTGTGCTTATTCAAGCGGCGAGCTACTAAACAAGCCCAAGAGGCTGTGCTATAAACTCTGTACTCACTGTGACCAAGACTCTGAAAATCTGTACTCATTGTGACCAAGACTCTTAAACTCTGTACTCACTGTGACCAAGACTCTGCAGTGGGTTTTTTTTTATCAGAACCGCTTGCCTTGGAGACAGGCAATCCTATGGTGCAGCTGGAGGAGGGGTGAGGGAAGATTGAGTCACATGCCTACCTAGCAGGGGTGCTGTTAGTATCTAGAAGCATTCTCTCCTGACATTTCGCCTGCATCTGTGGCAAGCATCCTCAGAGGTTGTGAGGTTGTAAATAATTGTAAATAGAATCAACCTCCAAAGGAGACTGGATGAAAGACAGAGTCAAGTGGGCTTATTCCAGGTCAGCGGCTGAGATATGAAATCTCTGCTAACTGTGACCAAGACTCTGCAGTGTGCTTGCTCTCTGCCATCTGCAGACCTGTAAATAGTTATATGTAGCAACGGCTGAAGAATCAACCACTGAAGTTCAAGTGTGCTTATTCAAGGTCAGAGGCTAGGATATGAAATAGGGAAATATATGTGTGCATGTAAACATGCATGTATGCGTGCATGAGTATATGTATGTGTGTATATATATAATAGGCAAATGTGTGCATGTAAACGTGCATGTGTGTGTATATATGTAATAGGCAAATGTGTGCATGTAAATGTGCATGTATGTGTATATGTGTGTGTATATATGTAATAGGCAAATGTATGTGTACATGTAAATGTGCATGTATGTGTGCATGTGTATATATATATATACACATGCACATATATATATATATGTGCATGTAAACATGCATGTGTGTATGTATGTGTGCGTATATATGTAATAGGCAAATGTATGTGTGCATGTAAATGTGCATATATGCGTGCATATGTATAGGTATGTGTGTGTATATATGTAATAGGCAAATGTGTAATAGGCAAATGTGTGCATGTAAACATGCATGTAAACGTGCATGTGTAAATGTATGTGTGTGTATATATGTAATAGGCAAATGTGTTTGTGCTGTAAACGTGCATGTATGTGTGCATGTGTATAGGTATGTGTGTGTATACATGTAATAGGCAAATGTGTGCATGTAAACGTGCATGTGTAAATGTATGTGTATATGTGTGTGTGTATATGTAATAGGCATATGTATGTGCATGTGTGCGTATATATAATAGGCAAATGTATGTGTGCATGTATATATGCATGTATGTGTGCATGTGTGCATGTATGTGTGCATGTAAACGTGCATGTGTGTATGTATGTGTGTGTATATATGTAATAGGCAAATGTATGTGTGCATGTAAACGTGCATGTATGTGTGCATGTGTATATGTATGTGTGCATGTAAACGTGCATGTGTGTATGTATGTGTGTATATATGTAATAGGCAAATGTATGTGTGCATGTAAATGTGCATGTATGTGTGCATGTCTATATGTATGTGTGTATATATGTAATTTGTGTATGCATGTGTATATGTGTATATATGTATATGTATGTATATGTGTATATTTGTGTCTGCTTGTGCATATATATACACGTGTGTGTGTATGAATGTGTGCGTGTGTATATGTATATATGGTGTATTTTTTGGATTTTTAAGTCTGTTCTAATGGTGTAGTACAATATATTAATATATAATACCAACATTGTACTATGCTAATAATATAATATATTGTATGTATAACAATGACCTCATACATACATACAATATATTATTATTATTATTATTATTATTATTATTATTATTATAATATTGTATGTATGTATGAGGTCATGAAGAGTGAACGAACGAACAACAACAACAACACGTATATATATCTTGTAAGCTGCTCTGAGTCTCCTTTGGTGAGATAAATGTCGTAAATAAATAAATACATAAATAAGGATGACTCTGGGGGGTTTCTTAAAGGAACAGGGTCCGACTAAGGTTCCCTCCCACCAGAAACAATACAAGAAGGAACCCATTCGAACTCCAGGGGAAACTGAGGCTCAACAAAGGAAATAATATTTTGGCAACAACAACGTCTTTGTGAGCTTGTAGTGAGAACTGTCAGGTGGAGGCGAGGTGTGAGCCCCGCCTACATCCCTTTATTTACGGGCCCGAGAGGTCGGAGTCAGACCCGACTTACCGGCCGGGCGGCACTCGTGCTTCACCAGTTCCTTCCGGTCGGCCCAGGGCTGGGTCCAGACTTCAAACTGGCACGACTGGAAGGAGAGAGGAGGGAGAAAACACAAATAGAAGCATTGCACAAAGCAGCCCACAATTCTATCTATATATATATATATAAATGTTCTGTGCGTCATGAGTACCTTAAAAACAAAAGAACCCATGAACGAAATCACACCAAGTTTGGCAACAAAACGCCTCACTACACAAGGAGTGACCGTCACTCAAAAAAGTATGGTTTTGTCATTTGGGAGTTGTAGTTGCTGGGATTTACAGTTCACCTACAATCAAAGGGCATTCTGAACTCCACTAACGATGGAATTGAACCAAAAGTGACACGTCGGACTCCCGTGACCAACAGAAAATACTGGAAAGGTCTGGTGGGCATTGACCTTGAGTTTGGGAGTTGTAGTTCACCTACATCCAGAGATCATTGTGGACTCAAACAATGATGGATCGGGATCAACCTTGGCACAAATACTCAATATGCCCAAATTTGAACACTGGTAGAGTTTGGGGGAAAATAGAATCTTGACATTTGGGAGTTGTAGTTGCTGGGATTTATAGTTCACCTACAATCAAAGAGCATTCTGAACCCCACCAACGATGGAATTGAACCAAACGTGGCACTCAGTTCTCCCATGACCAACAGAAAACACTAGAAGGGTTTGGTGGGCAGTGTCCTTTTGTTTTGGAGTTGTAGTTCACCTACATCCAGAGATCATTGTGGACTCAAACAATGATGGATCGGGATCAAACTTGGCACAAATACTCAATATGCCCAAATTTGAACACTGGTAAAGTTTGGGGAAAAATAGAATCTTGACATTTGGGAGTTGTAGTTGTTGGGATTTACAGTTCACCTACAATCAAAGGGCATTCTGAACTCCACTAACGATGGAATTGAACCAAAAGTGACACGTAGGACTCCCATGACCAACAGAAAATACTGGAAAGGTCTAGTGGACATTGACCTTGAGTTTGGGAGTTGTAGTTCTCCTACATCCAGAGAGCACTGTGGATTCAAACAATGATGGATGTGGACCAAACTTGGCACAAGCACTCAATACGCCCAAATATGAACACAGATGGAGTTTCGGGGAAATAGACCTTGACATTTGGGAGTTGTAGTCACTGGGATTCACAGTTCACCTACAATCAAAGAGGATTCTGAACCCCACCAACGATGGAACTGAACCAAACTTGGCACACAGTTCTCCCATGACCAACAGAAAATACTGGAAGGGTTTGGTGGGCAGTGTCCTTTGGTTTTGGAGTTGTAGTTTACCTGCCTCCATAAATCACTGTGGACTCAATGATAGATCTGGACCAACACAAGGAGTGACCATCACTCAAAAAAGTATGATTTTGTCATTTGGGAGTTGTAGTTGCTGGGATTTATAGTTCACCTACAATCAAAGAGCATTCTGAACTCCACCAACGATGGAATTGAACCAAACTTGGCACACAGAACTCCCCTGACCAACAGTAAACACTAGAAGGGGTTGGAGGACCATCATCCTCGGACTATGAGGGACCACCTAAGTAAGTAAGTAGGTCAGCTGTACCCGATTATATATATATCTGTTTCATGCATTGGCATATCTTTGTCCCTAACAGTTCAAAGACATACCTAGGTCTAGGCCTGGGCAATCCATGGTTCTAAATGGTTCTAAAGTACTTACAAAACTAAAATTCTAGTGGTAAAATTGTTAGAACTCTCAAAAAAACTTTCAAAATTTAATTATTATTTCATTATTGGTGATTTTTATGACAGAACCAATTAGGAACTGCCATTTATAATGACATTTTGAGGGTTTTGTTAAGAGTTCCGAAATTTTCACCACCAAAACTTTAGTTTTGTAAGTACTTTAGAACAATTTAGTTCATTATTGGTGATTTTTTATGCCAGAACCAATTAGGAACTGCCATTTATAATGAAATTTTGAGAGTTTTGTTAGAGTTCTGAAATTTTCACCACCAGAACTTTAGTTTTGTAAGTACCTTAGAACCATTTCGTTCATTACTGGTGATTTTTATGACAGAACCAATTAGGAACTGCCATTTATAATGAAATTTTGAGGGTTTTGTTAGAGTTCCGAAATTTTCACCACCAAAACTTTAATTTTGTAAGTACTTTAGAACCATTTAATTTATTATTGGTGATTTTTATGCCAGAACCAATTAGGAACTGCCATTTATAATGAAATTTTGAGGGTTTTTGTTAGACTTCCGAAATTTTCACCACCAAAACTTTAGTTTTGCAAGTACTTTAGAACCTTTAGAGTTCCGAAATTCCATTTTCCAAAATATTAGTTAAGACAAAATTGAAGTTGTTTTGAGTCGTGCACACCCCCAAGCTAAAATTGGGGAAGTTGGGGACGATGATTTGGCAACGGCCGAGATTGGTTTTTCTCCCCTTCCCTTCTCTCGGGATTATCCTCGGTCATCTGACCGTCCCACTGAGCTGCCCTTGTTTGGAGAGGAAGTGCGGCCAAAAGGGATTCAGCTGAGCCCGGGTCACAAGGCGGCATGTGAGCGGGCACGCCGTTTCGACTGTAGCATGACACTTGTATCGCTGGGGGAAAGAATAAATATACAGATCTTAGAAAGGTATTTTTAACGGTAATGGTTTTGAAGAAGGAAACCAGTTCCTACCGTGTGCTCGGGCTCGGCGACGGAGAGGCAACCGCCGGCCTCCGACTCGCTCGTTCCGCAGTCACTCCTCAATAAGGCAACGTCCAGGTAATACTTGATCCCGTCGACCACCTGGAAGTGAACAAGCATATTTTCAAGTAGGATTTGGGACAGGAATGGCGGAGAAATTTGTGTCCTGGAAGGAGGCAAAGTATTGCACATACCGTATATACTCCACACAATCACCAGACAATTGGATACGTTTCTGCCAATGATGAACAAGTTTTCTGAAGCCGTCACAGAAGACGTCGACACTCTCTTTCCGTAACCAGCGTCTCAGGTTCTTTCAATCACTATTTACTTTCCCACATAATCACCAGACAATTGGATACATTTCTGCCAACAATGAACAAGTTTTCTGAAGCTGTTACAGAAGAAGTCGACACTCTGTTTCCGCAACCAGAGTCTCAGGTTCTCTCAATCACTATTCGCTTTTCCTCATAATCACCAGACAATTGGATACATTTCTGCCAATGATGAACAAGTTTTCTGAAGCCGTCACAGAAGACGTCGACACTCTGTTTCCGCAACCAGCGTCTCAGGTTCTCTCAACCACTATTCGCTTTTCCACATAATTACCAGACAATTGGATACGTTTCTGCCAACCATGAACAAGTTTTCTGAAGCCATCGCGGAAGAAGTAGACACTCTGTTTCCGCAACCAGCGTCTCACCGTTCTCTCAACCACTATTCGCTTTTCCACATAATCACCAGACAATTGAATACATTTCTGCCAACCATGAACAACCACTATTAGTTTTTCCACATAATCACCAGGCAATTGGATACATTTCTGCCAATGATGAACAAGTTTTCTGAAGGTGTTACGGAAGAAGTCAACCCTCTGTTTCCGCAACCAGCTTCTCAGGTTCTCTCAATCACTATTTACTTTCCCACATAATCACCAGATAATTGGATATGTTTCTCCCAACAATGAACAACTACTATTCGCTTTTCCACCATCACCAGACAATTGGATACATTTCTGCCAATGATGAACAAGTTTTCTGAAGCCGTCACGGAAGACGTCGACACTCTCAATCACTATTCGCTTTTCCACATAATCACCAGACAATTGAATACGTTTCTGCCAACCATGAACAACTACTATTTGCTTTTCCACATAATCACCAGACAATTGGATACATTTCTGCCAACCATGAACAAGTTTGCTGCCCAAGGAATCCTGCAAGGAAGACTCCAGCAATATATGGAGCGAGCGTTGCCAGATGTTCAAGCTGGGTTTAGAAAAGGCAGAGGAATGAGAGACCAGATTGCCAATATCCGGATGCTGGAGAATGGAGAAAGGCAGGGAGTTTCAGAAAAACATCTACTTCTCCTTCATTGACTCTTCTAAAGCCTTTGACTGTGGATCATCATAAATGGTGGCAAGTTCTTGGTGGGATGGGCATCCCAAGCCCCCTTCCCTCTCTCCTGAGGAATCTGTACAAGGACCAAGGAGCCACAGTCAGAACTGACCACGGAACAGGAGACTGGTTCAAGATTGGGAAAGGCGTACGGCAAGGCTGCATCCTCTCACCCAACCTTTTTAACTTGTATGCAGAACACATCATGCGAGGATGTGCGGGGATTGAGGAATGCAAGGCTGGAAGAAACATTAACAACCTCAGATATGCAGATGACACCACTCTGATGGCTGAAAGCGAGGAGGAGCTGAGGAGCCTTCTAATCAAGGTGAAAGAAGAAAGCGCAAAAGCCGGGTTGCAGCTAAACATCAAGAAAACCAAGATTATGGCAACAAGAATGATTGACAACTGGGAAATGGAGAAAATGTGGAGGCAGTGACAGGGTTTGTATTTCTAGGCGCAGATGCAGACTGTGGCCAGGAAGTCAGGAGACGCTTCCTTCTTGGGAGGAGAGCAATGTCCAGTCTCGATAAAATAGTCAAGAGTAGAGACATCAGACTGGCAACCAAGATCCATTGCCTAGTCAAAGCCATGGTCTTCCCTGTAGTAACCTACGGATGTGAGAGCTGGACATCCTCAGGGAAGGCTGAGCGGAGGAAGAGAGATGCTTTTGAGCTGTGGTGTTGGAGGAAAGTGCTGAGAGTGCCTTGGACTGCGAGAAGACCCAACCAGTCCATCCTCCAGGAAAGAAAGCCCGACTAAAGCTCATTGGAGGGAAGGAGACGAGAGGGAAAGATGAAGTCCTTTGGCCACATCCTGAGGAGACAGCCAAGCCTGGAGCAGACAATGATGCTGGGGAAAGTGGAAGGCAAAGGGAAGAGGGGCCGACCAAGGGCAAGATGGATGGATGGCATCCTTGAAGTGACTGGACTGACCTTGAAGGAGCTGGGGGTGGTGACGGCCGACAGGGAGCTCTGGCGTGGGCTGGTCCATGAGGTCACAAAGAGTTGGAGACGACTGAACGAATGAACAACAACATTACAACCCAAAAAAATATTGCTATATAAGAGACCTTCTTACAACCCAAAAAGTGTGGCAGACCAGAGGAGTCTGGCCCATCCAGCTCTCTTCTCTGTGGGAAGTAGAGAGATGGTGTACCTTTGGGATTGTCAGATCTGTAACGGAACGCAGTCGGGTCACTTGCCTCTTTTTCTCACAGGAAAAGAAAGGCGTGTGATTTCGAAGTCACGATATGTTGTGCAGGGAGTCAGAATTCACAACCTTCCTGACCTACTTCTGGAGCGCCCGAAGCGCATTAACACCTCGCCAATCTCTTTGCCGCTCGTCGGCAGCAATCAGGATCAATACAGCAGAAGGTCAACGGCGGTGCGGGGTGGCTAACGAACCTGTTAATTAGAGAGCGGCAGATTCCCACACGTAGGCGCTCCACAAGCCGCTCGCCGGGGAGAAATCCGTCCAGAGTAATTACTTCAAGGCAAGCGGATTGCCAATCCAATTAGGAGAGGCTCCTGAGCCGCAAAGGCATGAAACCCGGGAGCAGAGAGCGGCAGAAACAGCCTCTTCAAGCCGCCTACCTACAAAACCACCCACCACCCAAGGGAAGACTTTCATCCTAGATTGTATGTGTTTCCTCCACCACAGGCATCCCAGTGTTCTTTACTCTCTCTATTGGTTTGTAATTTGTATGACCCCGCCCACTGCCTCTCCCTTACCCTTTCCTACTCTTTTCTATGGCAAACGGCAAACAGGACAATTCCATCTTAGATTTGATGTGTTTCCTCCACCACAGACATCCCAGTGTTCCTTACTCTATTGGTTTGTAATTTGCATGACCCCACACACTGCCTCTCCTTTAACCCTTTTCTACTCTTTTCTATGGCAAACAGAGAACAATTCCATCTTAGATTTGATGTGTTTTCTCCACCACAGACATCCCAGTGTTTCTTTCTCCGTCCATTGGGGGGGGGAATTTGCATGACCCCGCACACTGCCTCTCCTTTCACCCTTTTCTATATTTTTCTACGGCAGACGGCAAACAGAGGACAATTCCATCTTAAATTTTATGTGTTTCCACCACCACAGGCATCCCAGTGTTCCTTACTCTCTCTAGTGGTTTGTAATTTGTATGACCCCGCCCACTACCTCTCCCTTAACCCTTTCCTACTCTTCTCTATGGCACACAGCAAACAGGGGACAATTCCATCCTAGATTTTAAGTGTTTCCTCCACTACAGGCATCCCAGTGTTCCTTACTCTCTCAACTGGTGTGGAATTTGCATGAAATATAATATTTTATATTATATTTACTTCATATTATATTTATTTTATATTATACTTATTTTATATTACATTTATTTATATTACATTTCACATTATACTTATTTTATATTATATTTATTTCATATTATATTTCATATTATGCTTATTTTATATTACGCTTATTTCATATTATATTTATTTCATATTACATTTCATATTATACTTATTTTATATTAATTTCACATTATATTTCATATTACATTTATTTTATATATTATATATTTTATATTACTTATTTTATATTAATTTCATATTATATTTATTTTATATTACATTTCAAATATTTATATTATATTAATTTCATATTATATTTTATATTATGCTTATTAATTTTATAACTATCTTATATTATAGTTATTTTGTTTTATATTATATTTAATTGTACATTTCTCTTATAGTTATTGTGTATTTATTTTGTTTTATATTATATTTAATTTTATACCTATTTAATATTATAGTTATTTTGTATTTAGTTTTATATTATATTTAATATATCTATCTTATAGTTATTTTGTTTTTTGTTTAATATACTTATTTTATATTTATAATATTTTATATTTATTTTCTTTTATATTATATTTAATATAATTAATATATTTATTTTGTTTTATATTCAATACATTTATTTTATATTTATAATAAATTTAATATTTTTATTTTGCTTTATATTATATTTAATATATTTATTTTATATTATATTGTATTTATTATATTTACTTTATATTTATATTTAATATATTTATCTTATATTTATTTTGTTTTATATTATATTTATTTTATATTATAGTTAATATATTTATCTTATATTTATTTTGTTTTATATTCTATTTAAAATTCTATTTATTTCGTATTACCATGATTACCATGATTATGAGAGTATAATATTTAATATAATATTATAATATAATACTTAAGATTTCTACTAATATGTCCTATTGAGGCCTCCGTCCCCATCTCTCCTCTCTCCTGGCGGATCTCCCTGAGGAGAACGATACTGGACCTGGCTCTTGGCGGACCGGAGGGCCCACACGCTCCCGCCCTTCCCTCCTGGGAGGCCGGCCTGGCCCAAAGCGAAGCGAGCCGCCTCCTTCGCCTGCGCGCTTGGCCTGCCTTCCAACGTCGCCGCGGTGGCTGCGAGAAGCCAAACTCCGCAGGTGAGGAGGAGATGCGCCACCTTCGCCATCCTCACCTCGAATGAGCTCAATCCGCTCCGGCAGGCGGGGCCACCCAGAAAGGGGCGGAGCGACTGCCAGGGGCGGGGACTTTATATAGAATCCTCTGAAGAGATTGGCTTTCTGAGTAAAAAGGGGCGGGGATTCAGGATTGGGGGCGGAGCCACTTCAGAGAGAGGGCTTGAAGCGTCTGACGTCATCGCGCTCGCACCAAAACAAGCCAAGCCTCTTCTAGGTCTCATTCATATTCTTTTTATTATAATATTTCATCTTGTATTTATTTAATATTATATTATGTATTTATTTAATGCTATATTTATGCAATATTATACTTTATATCACATTTATTTAATATAATATTTTAATATTATATTTATTATAAATAAATATAATTATTAATCTATTATTAATATAAATAAGAAATATTTAATAATATATTTATTATATATTATATCATTGATATTAAATAAACAATTGATTTTTATATTATGTATTTATTTAATGCTATATTTATGTAATATTATACTTTATATCACATTTATTTAATATTATATTTTAATATTATATTTATTATAAATAAATATAATTATTAATTTATTATTAATATACATAATAAATATTTAATAATATATTTATTATATATTATATCATTGATATTAAATAAACAATTGATTTTTATATTATGTATTTATTTAATGCTATATTTATGCAATATTATACTTTATATCACATTTATTTAATATTATATTTTAATATTATATTTATTATAAATAAATATAATTATTAATTTATTATTAATATAAATAAGAAATATTTAATATTATATTTATTATATATTATATCATTGATATTAAATAAACAATTGATTTTTATATTATGTATTTATTTAATGCTATATTTATGCAATATTATACTTTATATCACATTTATTTAATATTATATTTTAATATTATATTTATTATAAATAAATATAATTATTAATTTATTATTAATATACATAATAAATATTTAATAATATATTTATTATATATTATATCATTGATATTAAATAAACAATTGATTTTGGATTGGACTGCAGTTTATTTAATATTATATTATGTATTTATTTAATGTTATATTTATTTTATATTATATTTTATATTACGTTTATTTTATATTTAATATTATATGTCATATATTTAATATTATATTTTAATGTCATATTTAATGTTATACTTATGTTCTACTATATCTTATATTTATTTTATATTATACTTATTCTATATTATATTTATTTCATATTATATTTATATCACATTTATTTAATATTAATATAAGTAATAAGTATATGATTTTAAATAAACAATTGATTTTGGCTTGGACTACATTTCCCACCAAATTTATTACATCTATTTCTATGCTTTTCATTATAATATGTGATCTTGTATTTATTTAATATTATATTATGTATTTATTTAATGTTATATTTTATATCACATTTATTTAATACTATATTTTAATATTATGTTTATTATATTATATCATTGATATGAAATAAACAATTGATTTTGGCTTGGACTGCAGTTCCCACCAAATTGATCACATCTATTTCTATTCTATGATTTGTTTCTTATTACATTTATTTCTATATTAGTATTATATTATATTAATTTTATATTGTACTTATTTTATATTATATTTATTTCATATTATATTATATTTTATATTATATTTTATATTATACTTATTTCATATTATATTAATTTCATATATTTCATATTACTTTTTATTTTTTTATGTTACATTACATATTGATTGTGTATTAAATTTGTCTTATACTTATTTGATATTATTTATTTCATTATATTTCATTTTATAGTTATTTTATATTTCATATTATTTTTATTGTATATTATATTTATATTATACATTTTATATCATATTTATTGTATATTATATTTTATATTATACTTATATTTATTTCATATTTTTATATTATACTTATTTGATATATTTATTTCATATTACATTTATTTTATATTTCATATTATATTAATTTCATATATTTCATATTACTTTTATATATTTTATGTTATATTTATTACATATTGTGTATTAAATTTTTTCTTATACTTATTTTATATTATTTATTTCATTATATTTCACATTATTTTTATTTTATATTATATTTATATTATACATTTTATATTACATTTATTTTATATTATACTTATTTTATATTTATTTCGTATTTTTATATTATACTTATTTCATATTATATTTATTTCATATTACATTTATTTTATATTATATTTCATATTATATTTATTTTATATTATACTTATTTTATATATTTTTTTATTTATACTTATTTTATATTTATTTCATATTTTTATATTATACTTATTTCATATTACATTTCAGATATTTATTTTATATTATACTTATTTCATATTATATTTATTTTAAATTATATTTTATATTATTCTTATTTCATATTTATTTATATTTATATTTATTTATTTATAGGGAGCTTTGGCGTGGGCTGGTCCACGAGGTCATATATTTATTTTATATTATACTTATTTCATATTATATTTATTTTATATTATACCTTATATTATGCTTATTTTATATTTATTTATATTTATTTTATATTTTAATATATTTATTATGTATTATATTTAATATTACATTTATGTAATATTATCTTTATGAAATAAATCATAATTAAATAAATATTATTAATATTATATTTAGTATACTTGCCCAACGTAACAAATTATAAGTACGGAGTGTGTTTATCGGGGTTAACCTGGCATGACGGGAGTTGTAGTTCACCCGCAACCTTTTGCATTTCGTACAATTGAAAATTCGTATTGTCGAACGCTTCTATGGCTGGAATCACTGGGTTGTTGTAGGCTTTTCGGGCGATATGGCCATGTTCTAGAAGCATTCTCTCCTGACATTTCACCTACTTCCATGGCAGGCATCCTCAGAGGTTGTGAGGTCAAATTCTTAATGGGGTTGTATTTTTTAATCGAGTCAAGTTTTATATTGGGATGTTGTATTTTTTCGGGCAATATGGCCATGTTCTAGAAGCATTCTCTCCTGACGTTTCGCCTACATCTATGGCAAGCATCCTCAGAGGTTGTGAGGTCAGAGCATGCCTGCCATAGATGTAGGTGAAACGTCAGGAGAGAATGCTTCTAGAACATGGCCAGATCGCCCGAAAAAAATATAACAACCCAATTAAAAAATTAGCAAGCTAGTAGTAGTAGTACTAATAACAATAATAGATACACAGTCACTTTGTGTCTCCTGGTGGAGAAAAAAGTGGGGTATACATAAACATGATAATAATAATAACTAACTTTACCCGCCACGCGTTGCTGTGGCCAACCTTCTCTCCCTCTTTCAGTCCTTCCTTCATTTCCTTTTCTTCTTTCCTTTCTTCCTTCTCTACCTGTTTACTTCCTTCCTTAGCTTTTTGCTCCCATCCTTCCTTCTCTTTATTTCTTCCCTTCCCTCCCTCTTTCTCTCCTTCTTTCTCTTCTTCCTTTGCTCCTTTCCTCCCTTCCCTTTTTTCTTTCCTTCTCTCCTCCTTCCTTCTCTTCCTCTTTCCTTCCTCCTCCCTTTTTATTTTCCTTCCTTCGCTCTTGACTTCCACACTTCCTTTTCTTCCCTCCCTTTCTCTTCTTCCTTCGCTTTTTCCTCTTCCTCTTCCCCTTCCCAAATTCCCCTTCCTTTCTTCCTTCCGACACCTTCCCTTCCCCTTCTTTTCTATCTTTCTTTCCTTTCCTCCTTCCGTCCTTTCTCCCTTCTTTCCCATCCTCCTCCTCTCTCTGTATTTTTTCCCTACCTTTCTTCTTTCATATACCTTCTCAACTTCTCCTTCCTTCCTTCATACACCTTCCCTCCCTCCCTCTCCTTCCTTTCTCCGTTCTTTCCCATCCTCCTTCTCTCCCTTTCCTTTCTTTCTTCTTTCATATACCTTCTCAACTTCTCCTTCCTTACTTCCTTCATACACCGTCCCTTCCCTCCTTTCTTCTTTCCTTCTTCTCCCTTCTTCCCTCCTTCTCTCCCTTTCTTCTTTCTTTCCTTCCTTTCTTCTTTCATATACCTTCTCAACTTCTCCTTCCTTACTTCCTTCATACACCTTCCCTTCCCTCCTTTCTTCTTCCTTCCTTCCTTTCTCCCTTCTTTCCCATCCTCCTTCTCTCCCTTTCTTCTTTCTTTCCTTCCTTTCTTCTTTCATATACCTTCTCAACTTCTCCTTCCTTACTTCCTTCATACACCTTCCCTTCCCTCCTTTCCTTCCTTCCTTCCTTTCTCCCTTCTTTCCCATCCTCCTTCTCTCCCTTTCTTCTTTCTTTTCTTCCTTTCTTTTTTATTTACCTTCTCAACTTCCCTTCCCACTTTTCTTTCTTTCTTTCCTTCCTTCCTTGCTATTTACACCCCTTCCCCTCATTTCCGTCCTTCCTTCCCTCTCCCGCTTCCTTCCCTCCTTCCCCTTCCTCACCAATGACGGAGCCAGACGGCGGTGCGCGGGGGCGGCCTGGGCCGGGCGTTGCGGTGGCCGATGGGCTGTCCTCTCCTGGCCGGGCCAGGAAGGCGGGCAGTGGGGGCCCCCCGGGCAGCCTCCGCAGGTCGCGCAGGATCCTGGTCCCCAGCGACCACAGCCGGCTGAGCTCCAACTCCCGGGCCGGGGCTTCAGCGTCAGCGGGTAGGCCGCGTTCTAGAACTAGAGTTCCCAGAGTGCATTGCCTGTGTACTTCCTCCCCTGGGCACTGCGCATGCTCAGTTGGTTTTTGTAATTGTGAGTTTCTTGAAATGTTGTTTGGAATTTTGATTCGCGTTGTGCATACCTTGTGGGTTGAGGTATGTGCACGGCAAATTTGGTGAGTTTTCGTCGGCGGTTTTTCGCGTTTTGCTGTCCCGTTGAACGCCCTTTCCCGTTTTATATATATAGATTAATTAATGGCCCCCTGTCCCCCCCGGAAAGGCGTCAATATTCACTCCCAAAGCCACGCTGAGCAAAAAACAACACACAGCTGATTTTTATTGTTTTAAAAACACGACAATGATTTCTCGTGACCCCCCCTGCCGTTGCTGAAAAGCAGGGGGGGGGGGGGCTTATAAAAATCGGTGCGGGGAGAAAACGTTACAAAGACATATCTCTCAAAACCAGAAAGGAACGGAGAACCGGGTGGTTTTCTTTCAAGGAGAAGAGGAGGGAGGTGGTCAGATCTCTAGCGCCGACCCAAAAAAAGAAAGATGGCGGCCTTGGCAGGAGACGGGGGTCGGGGGGGGGTCTCACAAGAAGGCATCGCACCACTCCCGCAGGCAGCCGTAACAGTCCCGGGATTGTTTGGCGTTGGCCCCGCAGGTGTCCTTCAGCCACTCCCGGAAGAGGTCCTCGTCCTTCTTCAGCACCAGGAACTGGCCCAGCACCATCCATCTCTGCCTCTTGGTGGGCGCGGGGGATGCCAAAAATCGGGGGGAAAGCATGGGTCCAGAGCCACAAGGAAGGCCCAAAAAAGCATCCGGAAAGGGGGCCTGGGGGTGAGCCCCCCCCCCCCCAATAGGATACAAATAGTTAAGGAGATAGAGAGAAATAGAGAGATAGATAAATATAGAAAGAGATAGATAAATAGAAAGATTTAGAATAATATAGAAAGATAGATAAATAGAAAGATATAGAAAGGTAGATAGATAGAAAGATATAGAAAGGTAGATAGATAAATAGAACGATATAGATAGACAGAAAGTTATAGAAAGGTAGATAAATAGATAGATACATAGATATAGAAAGATAGATAAATAGAACAATATAGAAAGATAGATAGATAAATAGAAAGATATAGAGATAGATAAATAGATAAATACATTGAAAGATATAGAAAGATAGATAGATAAATAGAAAGATAGATATAGAAAGAGAGATAGATAGAAAGAGATAGAAAGATAAATAGAAAGATATAGAGGTAGATAGATATCGAGAACGATATAGAAAGATAGACAGATAGATATAGAAAGGTAGATAAATAGAAAGACATAGATAAATAGATAGAAAGATATAGAAAGATAAATAGAAAGATATAGAAAGGTAGATAGAGATAGATAGAAAAATATAGAAAGATAGATAAATAGAAAGATATAAAAAGAGAGATAAATAGATAGAAAGATAGATATAGAGAGATAAATAGAAAGATATAGAAAGGTAGATAAACAGAACAATATAGAAAGGTAGATAAAGAGATAGAAAGATATAGAAAGATAGATAAATAAAAAGATAAATAGATAGAAAGACATAGAAAGATAGATAAATAGATAGATAAATAGAAAGATATAGATAGATAAATAGATAGATAGAAAGATATAGAAAGGTAGACAAAAAGATAGATATAGAAAGATAGATAGATAAATAGAACGATATAGAAAGAGAGATAAATAGATAGAAAGATATAGAAAGATAGAAAGAAAAATAAATAGATAGAAAGATAGATAAATAAATAGAGATAAATAGAAAGATATAGAAAGATGGATAAATAGAACGATATAGAAAGATAAATAGATAGAAAGATATAGATAGATAGATATAAAAAGAGAGATAAATAGATAGATAGAAAGATATAGAAAGGTAGACAAATAGAACAATATAGAAAGATAGAAAGAAAGATAAATAGATAGAAAGATAGATAAATAAATAGATAGAGATAAATAGAAAGATATAGATAGATAAATAGATAGAAAGATATAGAAAGGTAGATAGATAAATAGAACAATATAGAAAGATAAATAGAAAGATATAGATAGAAAAATATAGATAGATAGATAGATAGATAGATAGATAGATAGATATAAAAAGAGAGATAAATAGATAGAAAGATATAGAAAGGTAGACAAATAGATATAGAAAGATAGATCGATAGATAGATAAATAGATATAGAGAGATAAATAGATAGAAAGATAAATAGAAAGATATAGAAAGGTAGATAAATAGATAGATAAAGAAAGGTAGACAAAGATAGATATAGAAAGATAGATAAATAAATAAGTAGAAAGATAAATAGATATAGAGAGATAAATAGAAAGATATAGAAAAATAGATAGATACATAGATAGATAGATAAATAGAAAGATATAGAAAGAGAGATAAATAGATAGAAAGATATAGAAAGATAAATAGAAAGATAGATAAATAGAAAGATATAGAAAGGTAGACAAATAGATAGAGAGATAAATAGAATGATATAGAAAGACAAATAGAAAGATATAGAAAGGTAGATAAATAAATAGATAGATAAAGAAAGAAAGATATAGAAAGATAAATAAATAGATAGAACGATATAGAAAGGTAGTCAGATAAATAGGAAGAGATAGAAAGATATTGAAAGATAAATAGATATAGAAAGACAGATAGATAAATAGAAAGATATAGAAAGATAGAGAGATATAGAATAGGTGTCTTGTGTCCAAATTTGGTGTTAGTTCGTCCAGTGGTTTTTTAGTCCTGTTAATCCCACCAGTGCACAGAACATTTTTATGTATATAGATTGTTGTTGTTGTTGTTGTTGTTGTTCTAACCGGCCTCCCTTCTAGGAAGGCAAACTAAACCCGGACACTGTTGAAAGCGTATAGAGGAGCCAGACAGAAATAGAGAGAAATCAGGGCAGGCAATCTCTTCTCTCTCTCTGTCAAACCGCACTTCCCAAAAGAGGAAGCCCGCTGGCTGGCCACGAAAACCCCAACCGTTTCCAAACCGGGAACTCCCCCAGAAGGAAGGTCCAGCCCGTGCCCGGTGTGTGTCCCCCTCGACCCCGTGCACGTGGATGACGTGTTTTGCGGGGTGGGTGGGTGTGGAGGGGGTACCTTGTCGAAGCCTTTGTCCTCCAGCTTCTTGCCCAGGACGTCTCCGATGCCGGCCAGCGTCCCCACGGGCTTCTCCCCCATGGGCTCGGCCACAAAGTCCCGGTGCTTCTGGCTGGTGGTCATCCTGGCTCCCCACGGGCTTCGGGAAGGAAGGGAGAGGCCGGTCAGAAAGGATCCGAGAGTCGGAAGGCATTGACCAGGCAGGAAAAGGCACCAGCAAAGCCCTCCTGGCAGATAGCCATCCAGCTGGTACAGAGTAGTAGTAGTAGTAGTAATAATAATAATAATAATAGAACCATCGAATCCTAGAGTTGGAAGGCACCTCAAGAGGCAATCCAGTCCAACCCCCTTTGACCAGGCAGGAAAGGCACTATCAAAGCCCTCCTGACAGATAGCCATCCAGCCGCCACAGAATAATAATAATAATAATAATAATAATAATAATAATAATAATAGAAGAACTATAGAACCATAGAGTTGGAATGGTCCCCAAGTGGCCATCCAACTCCCTTTGACCAGGCAGGAAAGGCACAATCAAAGCCCTCCTGACAGATAGACAGACATCCAGCCGATACAGAATAGTAATAGTACTACAGAGTAGTAATAATAATAATAATAGAACCATAGAATCCTAGAGTTTGAAGGCACCCCAAGGGGCCATCCAGTCCAACCCCCTTTGACCAGGCAGGAAAGTCACAATCAAATCCCTCTTGACAGATAGCCATCTAGCCACTACAGAATAATAATAATAATAATAATAATAATAATAATAATAATAATAATAGAACCATAGAATCATAGAGTTGGAATGGACCCCAAGGGGCTGATCAGTTCAACTCCCTTTGACCAGGCAGGAAAGGCACAATCAAAGCCCTCCTGACAGATTGCCATTTAGCCGCTACAGAATAATAATAATAATAATAATAATAATAATAGAACTATTCAGTCCTAGAGTTGGAAGGCATCTCAAGGGCCATCCAGTCCAACTCCCTTTGACCAGGCAGGAAAGGCACAATCAAAGCCCTCCTGACAGATAGACATCCAGCAGCCACAGAATAATAATAATAATAATAATAATATGATAATAATAATAGAACCATAGAATCCTAGAGTTGGAAGGCACCTCAAGGGGCCGTCCAGTCCAACCCCCTCCTGCCATTGAGGAAGGCACAATCAAATCCCTCTTGACAGATGGCCATCCAGCCCCTGCATAATAATAATAATAATTAATAATAATTATTATAGCAATAGTATAATTGAGTTGGAATAGGCACCCAAGAGCCACACAGTCCAACCTCTCCCAACAGATGGCCATCCAGCTGTCACATCGTAATAATAATAACAATAATAGAACCATAGAATCCTAAAGGTGGGAGGGACCCCAAGGGCCATCCAATTCAACCCCTTCTGCCATTGAGGAAGACCGTACTCAATCACTCCTGATAGATAGCCATCCAGCCCCTGCATAATAATAATACTAATAATAGCAATAATAGAATCCTAGAGTTGGAAGAGATCCCAAGGGCCATCCAGTACAACCTCCTCCTGCAATTGAGGAAGACATAGCCTGATCCCTCCTAACAGATGGCCATCCAGCTCCTGCTTAATAATAATAATAATAGCTGGAATAGAATAGAATGGAATAATAGAGTTGGAAGGAACCCCAAGGGCCATCCAGTCTGACCCCCTTCTGCCAGGCAGGAAGGACACAATCAAAGCACTCCCGCCAGATGGCCACCCAGTCCCTGCATAATAATAATAATAATAGAATCCTAGTGTTAGAAAAGACATTGAAGAAGACATAATCCAGTCCCTCCCGACAGATGTCCTCTGTCGGAATTCTGAGGCAGACAGTTCCCCTGTTGAACAGTTCTTGTTACGACCAGGAATTTCTTCCTAATGTTCAGAATCTTGTTTCCTGTCGCTTCAGATTTGTTTATATATGTGTTTAGACTTGGGTCCCATCTCCAAGATTATTTCATAATAAAGCAGATTAAAAACCTGAGTCTCCAACATGTTCAAACAGGAACTGGGTAGGTTTCCCTTTCTTGTCACGCTTGAGTTTACAACATCCAGTTTTCTTGTTTGGCCCTGGCATTAATCCCAAAGGGACGCACCCTCTACGCCCAATGTATTTTTTTACATTGTTATGCGTTGCTTTATGACTCAGACACAGAGATAAAAACATGATACAAATAAATATATCAATAATAATACAATAAATATAATAGATATTACACTAATATTAAAAGTATAACATAAATAATTCACTCTATTAATAATAAATTATAATATAATGCAGCAATAAATATAAGCATAATAATAAATGAAATAGAACATATCAATAATAATAGAATAAATATAATAGATATTAGACTAATATTAAAAGCAATAACTATGATATAAATAATTCACTCCATTAATAATAATTTATAATATAATAAATTATATAATAAATACAGTAAATATAAATATAATAATAAAAATAAAAATAAATATAATAATAGATATTAGACTAATATTAAAAGCAATAACTATGATATAAATAACTCACTCCATTAATAATAATTTATAATATAATAAATTATATAATAAATACAGTAAATATAATAATAGATATTAGACTACTATTAAAAGCAATAACTGTGATATAAATAATTCACTCCATTAATAATAATTTATAATATAATAAATTATATAATAAATACAATAAATATAAATATAATAATAAAAATAAAAATAATAATAGATATTAGACTAATATTAAAAGCAATAACTATGATATAAATAATTCACACCCCATTAATAATAATTTATAATATAATAAACACAATAAATATAAATATAATAATAAATAATAAATATAAATACAATAATAAATATAAGAGATATTAGACTAATAGTAAAAGCAATAACTATGATATAAATAATGCAACCCATTAATAATAATTTATAATATAAATACAATAAATATAATAATAGATGTTAGACTAATATTAAAAGCAGTAACTATGATATAAATAATTCAATCCATTAATAATGATTTATAATATAATAAATTATATAATAAATACAATAAGAGATATTAGACTAATATTAAAAGCAATAACTATTATATAAATAACTCACTCCATTAATAATAATTTATAATATAATAAATTATATAATACAGTAAATATAATAATAGATATTAGACTACTATTAAAAGCAATAACTGTGATATAAATAATTCACTCCATTAATAATAATTTATAATATAATATAATAAATTATATAATAAATACAATAAATATAAATATAATAATAAAAATAAATATAATAATAAATATAATAATAGATATTAGACTAATATTAAAAGCAATAACTATGATATAAATAATTCACACCCCATTAATAATAATTTATAATATAATATAATAAACACAATAAATATAAATATAATAATAAATATAAATACAATAATAAATATAAGAGATATTAGACTAATAGTAAAAGCAATAACTATGATATAAATAATGCAACCCATTAATAATAATTTATAATATAAATACAATAAATATAATAATAGATGCTAGACTAATATTAAAAGCAGTAACTATGATATAAATAATTCAATCCATTAATAATGATTTATAATATAATAAATTATATAATAAATACAATAAATATGATATTAGATTAATATTAAAAGCAATGTTATAAATAATTCACTCCATTAATAATAATTTATAATATAATAAATTATATAATAAATACAATAAATACAATAATAGATATTAGACTAATATTAAAAGCAAAAACTATGATATAAACAATGCCATCAACTCGAGGCAGGCTTGAGTTGGGCCTGTAGGCCAAGGCCTTTGTGGACTACACTTCCCAGAATCCCTCAGAGGGGGCCTGAGACTCAGGAGATTATGGGATATGTATTCCCGGGGGGGGGGGAGGCCTCCCTTTCCCCAACCGAGGCTCATTTTGGAAATAAATCTCCCAAACTCGCCTCTCACCTCCTTCCTCGCCTCAACCGTCGCTCCCGCGCTGCCGGGATTCCACTTCCGGGACACCAAGAAGCCTTTTCCGTCGACGCTCTAGGAATACACGCTTCTCTTTGTGGCCGCGAGAAGCCTCTTTCGTCGACGCTCTAGGAATACACGCTTCTCTTTGTGACCGCAAGGAGCCTCTTCCGTCGACGCTCTAGGAATACACGCTTCTCTTTATGGCAGCAAGGAGCATCTTCCGCCGACGTTCTAGGAATACACGCATCTCTTTGTGGCAGCAAGCAACCTCTTCCGTCGATGCTCTAGGAATATACGCGTCTCTTTGTGGCAGCAAGAAGCCTCTTCCCTCGACGCTCTAGGAATGCACGCGTCTCTTTGTGGCCGCAAGAAACCTCTTCCGTCGACGCTCTAGGAATACACGCTTCTCTTTGTGTCAGTGAAAAGCCTCTTCCGTCGACGCTCTAGGAATACACGCGTCTCTTTGTGGCAGCAAGAAGCCTTTTCCGTCGACGCTCTAGAAATACACGCGTCTCTTTGTGGTTGTTGGGCGGGAACCCCCATCCTAAAGTCGTGCCGCTCTAGGATGCCACAGGCGGTGTATATAGCTCGCAACTGCGGGAAACCAAACGCTCGGTCGGCCATTTTGTTTCTGGGAGGGGAAGTCCCATCTCCTATTATTATTTCGAATTCTTCTTGAGGTTTTGGGTCACATCTCGAAGAGGTCTCGTTATGCATATGCAAATTGAGCAGAAACCTGAAAGGTTTTAATTTTTTTTAAAAAATGTGTAATTGGAGCTGGCCCTTTAAGAGAGGGGTCACGTGACGGGCATCTGGCAGGAGGGGCGGGTCTGCCCGCCCGGCGTGACGTCGACTCCCGGCCAGCCAATAGGAGCCTCCCAGGAGCCACAGGCCCCGCCTCCGACTGAAAGGGGCGGAGCCACAGGAGGAAGAAAGCCTTGGGAAGAGAGCAGGCCCGTCTAGGAATTGCTTATTTGGAGGTAAATATAATAATAATAATAATAATATTCTCAGTCTTATTTTCTTTATTTTGAGGTAAATATAATAATAATAATAATAATAATAATAATGTATTCTCTCTCTATATATATATATATTATAAAAATATATTTCCTTTTGTATCATTATCTGTCTATATATCTATATCTATATCTATACAGAGAGAGAGTAAATTTATAGATATAGATTATGTGCAGGTACAGCTGTACCAGGAGCTCCAATTTTGTTTGCTTTGCACTGAATGTTTGTTACAGTCCTAAGTTTCAGGGACTCTGCAGATAGGTGGCTTCTTTTGGCTGCAATCATAGGGCAAGCCACCTGCCAATTATCGTTAGGTTCCCTGGTCCCGCCCCCTTTTGGGGTTTTTGGAGGGAATAGGAGCCAGTTTGGGTTTCAGTCATAGAATCCTAGAATCCAAGAGTTGGAAGAGACCTCCTGGGCCATCCAGTTGGAAGAGACCTCCTGGCCATCCTCCAGTCCAACTCCCATTCTGCCAAGAAGCAGGAATATTGCATTCAAATCATCCCCCTGACAGATGGCCATCCAGCCTCTGTTTAAAAGCTTCCAAAGAAGGAGCCTCCACCACACTCCGGGGCAGAGAGTTCCACTGCTGAACGGCTCTCACAGTCAGGAAGTTCTTCCTCATGTTCAGATGGAATCTCTTCTCTTGTAGTTTGAAGCCATTGTTCCGCGTCCTAGTCTTCAGGGAAGCAGAAAACAAGCTTGCTCCCTCCTCCCTGTGGCTTCCTCTCACATATTTATACATGGCTATCATATCCCCTCAGCCTTCTCTTCTTCAAGCTAAACATGCCCAGCTCCTTAAGCCGCTCCTCATAGGGCTTGTTCTCCAGACCCTTGATCATTTTAGTAGCCCTCCTCTGGACACATTCCAGCTTGTCAATATCTCTCTTCAATTGTGGTGCCCAGAATTGGACACAATATTCCAGGTGTGGTCTAACCAAAGCAGAATAGAGGGGTAGCATTACTTCCCTAGATCTAGACACTATGCTCCTATTGATGCAGGCCAACATCCCATTGGCTTTTTTTGCCACCACATCACATTGTTGGCTCATGTTTAACTTGTTGTCCACGAGGACTCCAAGATCTTTTCACATGCACTGCTCTCGAGCCAGGCATCTCCCCATTCTGTATCTTTGCATTTCGTTTTTCCTGCCAAAGTGGAGTCTCTTGCATTTGTCACTGTTGAACATCAGATTATTTATTTATTTATTTATTTATTTATTTACTTTGCTTATATACCGCTGTTCTCAGCCCAGGGGTGACTCACAGGGGTGTACAACATAGGAACCACAAAAATCAAGACACAGTATAAAACAATTCACAATCGAGCATTATACAAAAACATCGTCATTACTACGAAAACCATTCAGCGTCGTCTCATCGTCCAAACCACAATCCAGTATCATTTCCGTTGTTCCATTCCTATAGTCATTACCAATCATTGCACTTCTTGTTCGAACGCCTTCTTGAACAACCAAGTCTTTAATTTCCTGCGGAATATCATCAGGGAAGGAGCCAGTCTAATGTCCGCGGGAAGAGTGTTCCACAGCCGAGGAGCCACCCATCATCTCTCTCATCTGTCAAGATCCCTTTGAGTCCAATTTGGTGTCGTCTGCAAACTTGATGATCCTGCCTTCTAGCCCTTCATCTCAGTCATGAATGAAGATCCTGAACAGGACCGGGCCCAGGACGGAACCCTGCTTGTGGCACTCCACTCGTCACTTCTTTCCAGGATGAAGAGGAAGCCTTGGGGAGAATCACCCTCTGCGTTCGTCCATTTAACCAATTCCAGATCCACCTCACCGTAGTTTTGCTTCACCCACATTGGACTAGTTTCCTTGCCAGAAGGTCATGGGGGACCTTGTCGAAGGCCTTACTGAAATCCAGGTACGCTACATCCACGGCATTCCCTGCATCTACCCAGCTTGTAACTCTATAAGGGAACCCCCTGGCCTTCAAAAACAAAAGCCATTAGCGATTACTGAAACCTCACGCCAAAGACACACTTGCATGGATAAAAGAAGGAAATTCTTATCTTTAGCATCGGAAATGGCCCATTAGAGTAAAGAATTATTTGACAAAAGTTTCTGTAAAATAAGGGGAAATCTTCCCCTCTGCTTTTGTTTACTTTCCATTGATAGCATTAAACCTCAGGCTGCCCTCATTGTTCTCCTGTCTCACAGCCAGGAAGGATCTGGATATTTCACAACACTCATGAAAACAATAGATCGGCCCTGTTTGAGCTTTTTGTCTCAGGCCACATGGCATTTCCTTTGTTTAAAGAAACCATATTGTTTTACTTCAAAGAGAAGCCTCCTGAGGAAGAGATAATATTGTGCTTAGTAACACCTCAGTCTGAGAGAGCCCTCAATGTGAATGCCTCAGTGGGAGAAAGGCCTCAGAGTGTGAGGTAGGCCTCATTATGAGAAGGCCTCGTGTGTGAAGCTCCAGTGTGAGAGAAGCCTCTCTGTGTGAGAGAACGCCTCAGTGGGAAAATAGGTCTCAATGGGAGTAGGCCTGTGAGAGAAAGGCCTCAGAGTGTGAGATAGGCCTCGTTATGAGAAGACCTTGTGTGTGAAGCTCCAGTGTGAAGGTTGAACTTTATTTGTGTTATGGAAACGTTGTTGTTGTAAATAGTTCAACCATATTGTTTTACTTCAAAGAGAAGCCTCCTGAGGAAGAGGTAATATTGTGCTTAGTAACACCTCAGTCTGAGAGAGCCCTCAATGTGAATGCCTCAGTGGGAGAAAGGCCTCAGAGTGTGAGGTAGGCCTCATTATGAGAAGGCCTCGTGTGTGAAGCTCCAGTGTGAGAGAAGCCTCTCTGTGTGAGAGAACGCCTCAGTGGGAAAATAGGTCTCAATGGGAGTAGGCCTGTGAGAGAAAGGCCTCAGAGTGTGAGATAGGCCTCGTTATGAGAAGACCTTGTGTGTGAAGCTCCAGTGTGAAGGTTGAACTTTATTTGTGTTATGGAAACGTTGTTGTTGTAAATAGTTCAACCATATTGTTTTACTTCAAAGAGAAGCCTCCTGAGGAAGAGGTAATATTGTGCTTAGTAACACCTCAGTCTGAGAGAGCCCTCAATGTGAATGCCTCAGTGGGAGAAAGGCCTCAGAGTGTGAGGTAGGCCTCATTATGAGAAGGCCTCCTGAGGAAGGGATAATATTGTGCTTAGTAACACCTCAGTGTGAGAGAACCCTCAGTGTGAGAGAAATACTGTTTGCCCACGAGCATCAAGACATGACTTAGATTAGTAACCAGCACTTTCTCATCACTTTATTTTTCCAGATCACCAGACTGGGCCACAGCAACACCTGGCCGGGGATGGATAGTATATAAGACCCTTCTCACTGCCTGTTGCCTCAGCCCCATTCTTAACTAGGAGTCGTTTGTAACTCGGGGATTGCCTGTATTCTGCTCCTGTTCACCTTTTGCTCGTTCTGTCTTCTTGCAGGTCGGGGTTTCTCCCTCTGCAAGCATCCGCCATGACGGAGCGGGAGGAGCGCCGCTTTGCGGAGATTCCCCGGGAGTCGGTGCGCTTGATGGCGGAGAGCGCCGGCGTGGAGCTGAGCGACGAAGTGGCCGCCCTCCTGGCCGAGGACGTCTGCTACCGCCTGCGCGAGGCCACCCAGGTGAGGCGGGCCAGTCCGCTAGACTCATTGTCTCAGGGCGAGCTATGAAAATCAAGCCAAACATTGCAGAGTCTTTGTCCAGGAGTCAGCAGAGTTTTACTGCACAGCCTCTGCCTCTGTATTTCATCCAAAGCTCACATTGGAGGTTTTCATCTTTACACGTTGTTTTATATACAACTCTATATACCTTTATTTATTTATTGGCAGTAGTTATATTCCACCCTTCTCACCCCCCAGGGGACTCGGGGCAGATTACAATGCACATATACATGGCAAACATTCAATGCCAGTTAGACATACAACATATATAGACAGATGCAGAGGATTGGGGGAAGCTGGACCATGGATGATGGGATTTGCAGTACATTCATCCACATCCAGAGACTACTGCGACCCCCGCAAATCACGGACCCGAACCAAAATCGGGGCACAGACCCCCTCTCCCCATGACCCACTTTATATCCCGGATAGCTTGGGGGGGGGGGGGGAATGGACCGCAGATGATGGGATTTTTAGTAACTTCATCCACATCCAGAGACTACTGCGACCCCCACAAATGACGGACCAGGACCAAACTCTGGGCACAGACCCCCCCATGACCCACTTTACATCCTGGATAGCTTAAGGGGAGGATTGACCACGGACGATGGGATTTGCAGTACCTTCATCCACATCCAGAGACTACAGCGACCCCCACAAATGGTGGACCTGGACCAAACTCTGGGCACAGACCCCCCCCATGACCCACTTTACATCCTGGATAGTTTAAGGGGAGGATGGACCACAGATGATGGGATTTGCAGTACCTTCATCCACATCCAGAGACTACTGCGACCCCCACAAATAACGGACCTGGACCAAACTCGGAGCACAGACACCCCCCCCCCCCCATGACCCACTTGACATCCTGGGTAGCTTAAGGGGGGAATGGACCACAGATGATGGGATCGTTGTACCTTCATCCACATCCAGAGACTACTGCGACTCCCACAAATGATGGACCTGGACCAAACTCGGGGCACAGACCCCCCCCTCCCATGACCCACTTTACATCCTGGATGGCTTAAGGTGAGGATGGACCACAGATGATGGGATTTGCAGTACCTTCATCCACATCCAGAGACTACTGCGACCCCTACAAATGATGGACCCGGACCAAACTCGGACCACAGACACACCCCCCCCCCCCCCCCCATGACGCACTTTACATCCTGGATTACTTGGCAGGGGATGGACCACAGATGATGGGATTCGCTGCACCTTCATCCACATCCAGAGACTACTGCGACCCCTACAAATGATGGACCCGGACCAAACTCGGAGCACAGACCCCCCCCTCCCATGACCCACTTTACATCCTGGATGGCTTAAGGTGAGGATGGACCACAGATGATGGGATTCGCTGCACCTTCATCCACATCCAGAGACTACTGCGACCCCTACAAATGATGGACCCGGACCAAACTCGGACCACAGACACACACCCCCCCCCCCCATGACGCACTTTACATCCTGGATTACTTGGCAGGGGATGGACCACAGATGATGGGATTCGCTGCACCTTCATCCACATCCAGAGACTACTGCGACCCCTACAAATGATGGACCCGGACCAAACTCGGACCACAGACACACACCCCCCCCCCCCCATGACGCACTTTACATCCTGGATTACTTGGCAGGGGATGGACCACAGATGATGGGATTCGCTGCACCTTCATCCACATCCAGAGACTACTGCGACACCACAAATGACGGACCTGGACCAAACTTGGGGCACAGCCCCCCCCCCCATGACCCACTTTACATCTGGATAGCTTAGGGGGGAATGGACCACAGATGATGGGATCGTTGTACCTTCATCCACATCCAGAGACTACTGCGGCCTCCACAAATGACAGACTTGGACCAAACTTGGGACACAGCCCCCTCCCCCCAATGACCCACTTTACATCTGGATAGCATAGGTGGGATGGACCACAGATGATGGGATTTGCAGTACCTGCATCCAGAGACTATTGTGACCCCCACAAATGATGGACCTGGACCAAAATCGGGGCACAGACCCCCCCATGACCCACTTTACATCCTGGATTGCTTAGGGGGGAATGGACCACAGATGATGGGATTGCTGTGCCTTCATCCACATCCAGAGAGTACTGCGACCCCCACAAATCACGGACCTGGACCAAACTCAGGGCACAGACCCCCCCCATGACCCACTTTACATCCTGGATAGCTTAAGGGGAGGATGGACCACAGATGATGGGACTCGCAGGACCTTCATCCACATCCAGAGACTACTGCGACCCCCACAAATGACGGACCTGGACCAAACTTGGGGCACAGCCCCCCCCCCCCATGACCCACTTTACATCTGGATAGCTTAGGGGGGAATGGACCACAGATGATGGGATCGTTGTACCTTCATCCACATCCAGAGACTACTGCGGCCTCCACAAATGACAGACTTGGACCAAACTTGGGACACAGCCCCCTCCCCCCAATGACCCACTTTACATCTGGATAGCATAGGTGGGATGGACCACAGATGATGGGATTTGCAGTACCTGCATCCAGAGACTATTGTGACCCCCACAAATGATGGACCTGGACCAAAATCGGGGCACAGACCCCACCCCCCCCAACCCACTTTACATCCCGGATAGCTTAGGGGGGATGGACCACAGATGATGGGATTTGCTGTACCTTCATCCACATTCAGAGACTACTGCGACCCCCACAAATGACGGACCCGGACCAAACTTGGGGCACAGACCCCCCATGACCCATTTTATATCCTGGATAGTTTAAGGGGAGGATGGACCACAGATGATGGGATTTGCAGTACCTTCATCCACATCCAGAGACTACTGCGACCCCCAGAAATCACGGACCCAGACCAAAATCGGGGCACAGACCCCCCCATGACCCACTTTACATCCTGGATTGCTTAGGGGGGAATGGACCACAGATGATGGGATCGCTGTGCCTTCATCCACATCCAGAGAGTACTGCGACCCCCACAAATCACGGACCTGGACCAAACTCAGGGCACAGACCCCCCCCCCCATGACCCACTTTACATCCTGGATGGCTTAAGGTGAGGATGGACCACAGATGATGGGATTTGCAGTACCTTCATCCACATCCAGAGACTACTGCGACCCCTACAAATGATGGACCCGGACCAAACTCGGACCACAGACACACACCCCCCCCCCCCCCCCACCCCCCCCGGGACCCCCACAAATGATGGACCGGGACCAAACTCGGGGCACAGCCCCCCCCCCCCCCATGACCAACTTTACATCCTGGTTAGCTTAGGGGGGAATGGACCACAGACGATGGGATTGCTGTGCCTTCATCCACATCCAAAGACTATTGCGACCCCCACAAATCACGGACCCGCACCAAAATTGGGGCACAGACACCCCCCCCCCCGACCCCCCCCATCCCGGATAGCTGGGGGGGGGATGGACCACAAATGATGGGATTTTTAGTAACTTCATCCACATCCAGAGACTATTGCAACCCCCACAAATCACGGACGTGGACCAAAATCGGGGCACAGACCCCCCCATGACCCACTTTACATCCTGGATTGCTTAGGGGGGAATGGACCACAGATGATGGGATTGCTGTGCCTTCATCCACATCCAGAGAGTACTGCGACCCCCACAAATCACGGACCTGGACCAAACTCAGGGCACAGACCCCCCTGACCCATTTTATATCCTGGATAGTTTAAGGGGAGGATGGACCACAGATGATGGGATTTGCAGTACCTTCATCCACATCCAGAGACTACTGCGACCCCCACAAATAACGGACCTGGACCAAACTCGGAGCACAGACACCCCCCCCCCCCCCATTATGACCCACTTTACATCCTGGTAGTTATTGTCTTACTGGCTCAGCATAAGTGGCTCGAACACTGGGTTATGTGTCCAGAGATCTGGGTTTGAATCTTAGGGTCTTGGAGTGAAGCCAGCCTCCTTCTCCTTGTCTCCCTCTGGTTTCCAGAACAGCTCCCAGTTCATGAAGCACACCAAGCGGCGCAAGCCAGCCTCCTTCTCCTTGTCTCCCTCTGGTTTCCAGAACAGCTCCCAGTTCATGAAGCACACCAAGCGGCGCAAGCTGACGGCGGAGGACTTCAACCGCGCTCTGCGCTGGAGCAATGTGGAGGTGAGTTTTGGGGAGTTGGGGGGAAAGGGACTTCCTTCTCTTCCGAACGGCACCCCTGCAAGGTGGGCTTCCGGGTCCCACTTTGGTCTCTCCCGCACAGGCCGTCTGCGGCTATGGCTCCCAGGACCCGCTCCCCTTCCGGACTCTCAAGGAAGGGGAGCTCTACTTCCAGGAGGACCGCGAGGTCAACTTGGTGGAGCTGGCCCTGGCCACCAACATCCCCAAGGGGTGCGCCGAGACGGCCGTGAGAGGTGAGGGTCGCGGGGGGCGAAGTTTGGGGGAAGGGTCCCCCTTTTGGGAAGGGGATGGGGCTTTCTTTGTAGTGGCTTACTAATGATGATAATAATAACCACCGTAACTAGCATTTGATGGCTTGGCAGTGCCTGGGGGAATCTTTTGTTGAGAGGCGATTAGATGTGCCTGATTGTTTACTCTCTGTTGCTTTGCTGTTGTGATTTTAGAGATTTTGTTCATTTTCATGCTTTCCATCAAATGCTAATCAAGGTGGTCAGCTGAAACATTCCCACCTAGCTCCAGCAGACAAGAGTCCTTTGTCCCACCCTGGACATTATTCCACAGATATATAAACCCATTGTCCTAATTCCAACAGACCTCACTACCTCTGAGGATGCTTGCCAGAGATGCAGGCGAAACGTCAGGAGAAAATGCCTCTAGAACATGGCCATATAGCCCGGAAAAACCTAAAACATTCCACTAATTAAGGTGGTCAGTTGAAACATTCCCACCTAGCTCCAGCAGACAAGAGTCCTTTGTCCCACCCTGGTCATTCCACAGATATATAAACCCATAGTCCTAGTTCCAACAGACCTTACTACCTCTGAGGATGCTTGCCATAGATGCAGGCGAAACGTCAGGAGAGAATGCCTCTAGAACATGCCCATATAGCCCGAAAAAAACCTACAACAACCCACTAAAGTCACAAAAATTGATCAAGGTAGGCAGTAGTAGTAGTAGTAGTCATTGAATTCCCCCTTTTTTTCCTAGTTCATGTCTCCTACCTCGACGGGAAAGGTAACCTGGAGCCTCAGGGGTCTGGTAAGGTCATTTCATATTATTATTATTATTATTATTTTACTTTTAAATTTTAATTTATTTTAATCTATATCTATATAAAGGTTAACGTCGTCCTTAGTGGTTCAAAAACGGAAAAAACGACAGGACCAAATCTCACCCAATTTGGCCTTCTACCACGCCTCATACCCCAAGGTATGACCGACAATCGTCACAATTCCAATAAACACCAAAACAAATTCAAAACAACACGGAGCATGCGCACAGGGCTGGGGAGGCTGCACATGTGCAGGAGAGCTCCTCCATCGCCTCTATGAAGGAAGTTTACACGCGTTGCACCAGTGGTTCTCCACCTTCCTCATGCCGTGACCCCTTAGTACCGTTCTTCATGTGGTGGTGACCCCCAACCATCACATGATTTTCGTGACTACTTCATAACTGTCATTTTGCTCCCCTCGTGAATCGTCATGTAAATACCTGATACGTAGGATGTATTTTCATTCACTGGACCAAATTTGACACAAATACCCAATATGCCCAAATTTGAATACTGGTGGGATCGGGGAAGGGGGAGTCATTTTGTCATTTGGGAGTTGTAGTTCACCTACAGAGCACTGTGGACTCTAACAATGATGGATCTGGACCAACTTGGCATGAATACTCAATATGCCCACATGTGAATACTGCTTGGGAAAAATAGACCTTGACATTTGGGAGTTGTGGTTCCTGGGATTTATAGTTCACCTACAATCAAAGAGCATTCTGAACTCCACTAACGATGGAATTGATCCAAACTTGGCACACAGAACTCCCATGGCCAACAGAAAATACTGAAAGGGTGTGGTGGGCACTGACCTTGAGTTTGGGAGTTGTAGTTCACCTACACCCAGAGAGCACTGTGAACTCAATCAATGATGGATCTGGACCAAACTTGACATGAATACTCAATATGCCCAAATGTGCACAGTGGTGGAGCGTGGGGAAAATATACCTTGACATTTGGGAGTTGTAGTGGCTGGGATTTATAGTTCACCTACGATCAAAGAGCATTCTGAACCCCAGCGAGGATAGAATTGTGCCAAACTTCCCACACAGAACTCCCATGACCACCACAAAATGCTAGAACTGTTCAGTGGGCATTGACCTTGAGTTTGGGAGTTGTCGTTCACCTACCTCCAGAGAGCACCGTGGACTCATACAATGATAGATCTGGACCAAACGTGGCACAAACACTCAATGTGTCCAAATGTGAACTCTGAACACCACCAGTGATGGAACTGAACCAAACTTGGCACACAGAACTCCCATGACCACCACAAAATGCTAGAACTGTTTGGTGGGCATTGACCTTGAGTTTGGGAGTTGTAGTTCACCTACCTCCAGAGAGCACTGTCGCCTCAAACAATGATAGATCTGGACCAAACGTGGCACGAACACTCAATATGTCCAAATGTGAACTCCGGTGGAGTTTGGGGAAAATAGACCTTGACATTTGGGAGTTGTAGTGGCTGGGATTTATAGTTCACCTACAATCAAAGAGCATTCTGAACCCCACCAATGATTGAATTGGGCCAAACTTCCCACACAGAGCACCCATGACCAACAGAAAATATTGTATATTCTGATGGTCTTCGGCGATGCCAATACAAACAATTCCAATAGTAAAACCACAATTAAACATCAACGAGCATTAAAACAATAAAATCGTCTTGTTGGTTGAATCGCCGTTCCATTATTAATATTATAGTTGTTGTTGCTGTTATTGGGAGAAAGGTAGGATCTCAATAAAGGCATTCTTAAAGCTGTGTTTTTCTCCCCAGTTCCGAGTGCGGTTTCCGCCTTGACGGACGACCTGTTGAAGTATTACCAGCATGTCACTCGGGCTGTCCTGGGAGATGACCCGCAGCTGATGAAGGTGGGGCTAGGGGCCAAAAGAGGGGCCCTACATGACCTTTATCGGACCCCATAAGGATTTGCGATCAATATTGGCCCCTGTTTCCTCCCGTTCTCAGGTCGCCCTCCAGGACTTGCAGACCAACCCGAAGATTGCGGCCCTCCTGCCTTACTTTGTCTATGTTGTGAGTGGGGTGAGTCTGGAGTCTGCATCCACACCCCATTATGTACCTACTATTCTCACTATCAAACCCGGTAAACAGCCTGGCCCAGATGGTAAAGTGTCTCCACTGGAAAAGGCACTCTTTGTCCAACTTTTGGTGGACGATGGGGAATGTAATCCCTCCATTGAAAGTATAGGGTGAGTCGAGGGTGGAGGGCCCAGATCCGGTACCTTTCCTCCCCTCTTCGGGGTCCCCATTACGCGTCTTAATATCCCACAATCAAACCTGGCGAAGTGCCCGGTCCAGATGGTGCTGTATGTAATAATAATAATAATAATAATAATAATAATAATAAGATTCCTCTCACTTCTATTGTCTCAGCCACATTCTTAAGTAGGAGTCATTTGCAAGTCAGATGTTTGTAACTCGGGAACTACCTGTATGTATGTGTGTGTATATATAAATTATATTGTATTGTATTATAATATTATCAATATTACATGTATATACAATACAATATATTATATTATATTGTATTATATTGTATTATAATATTATCAATATTATATGTATATACAATACAATATATTATATTGTATTGTATTATATTGTAATATTATCAATATTATATGTATATACAATACAATATATTATATTGTATTGTATTATATTGTATTATAATATTATCAATATTATATGTATATTCAATACAATATATTATATTGTATTGTATTGTATTACATTATAATAATATCAATATTATGTGTATATACAATACAATACATTATATTGTATTATATTATATTGTATTATAATATTGTCAATATTATATGTATATACAATACAATATATTATATTATATTGTATTATATTGTATTATAATATTGTCAATATTATATGTATATACAATACAATATATTATATTGTATTGTATTATATTGTATTATAATACTGTCAATATTATATGTATATACAATACAATATATTGTATTGTATTGTATTGTATTACATTACAATAATATCAATATTATGTGTATATACAATACAATATATTATATTGTATTGTATTATATTGTATTATAATATTATCAATATTATGTCTATATACAATACAATATATTATATTGTATTGTATTATATTGTATTATAATACTGTCAATATTATATGTATATACAATACAATATATTATATTGTATTGTATTACATTATAATAATATCAATATTATGTGTATATACAATACAATATATTATATTGTATTGTATTATATTGTATTATAATATTGTCAATATTATATCTATATACAATACAATATATTATATTGTTTTGTATTGTATTACATTATAATAATATCAATATTATGTGTATATACAATACAATATATTATATTATATTGGATTATATTATATTGGATTACATTATAATATTGTCAATATTATATGTAAATACAATACAATATATTATATTATATTGGATTATATTGTATTATAATATTATCAATATTATGTGTATATACAATACAATATATTATATTATATTGTGTTATATTGTATTATAATATCAATATTATATGTATATACAATACAATATATTATATTGTATTGTATTACATTATAATATTGTCAATATTATATGTATATACAATACTTATATATTATATTGTATTTATTATATTGTATTACATTATAATATTATCAATATTATATGTACATACAATACAATATATTATGTTATATTATATTATAAGCACAGTGCAGGAGACAAGATTATTAGTATTGCTATACTATTATATGTTATTATAATAATATAATAATACTAATGATTCCTCTCGTTTCCTGTTGTCTGAGCACTGTTCTTAACTAAGAGTTGTTTGTAAGTTGTATTTTGTAGTGTGTGTATATATATGTGTGTGTGAGTATAAATATAATATATAATATAATATAATATAATATAATATAATAACTTTGGGACTGCCTGTATGTGTGTATGCACTATAATAATAATAGTAATAATATATAAGATTCTTCTCACTTCATTTGTAATTTGGGGACTACTTGTGTACGCTTGTGTGTGTGTGTGTGTTTGTGTGTGTGTGTGTGTGTGTATATATATATATATATACAAACACTAATAGTATATAAGGCAATATGTAAAAGATATTAATATATGAGATTCCCCTCACTTCCTGTTGTCTCAACCCCGTTCTTAACTATGAGTCAGATGTTTGTAACTAGGGGATGGCCTGGCATGGTCGTAATGCCTTCCACCCCGCTTCCCGGCAGGTGAAGTCTGTGAGCCACGACCTGGAGCAGCTGAGCCGCCTTCTGCACGTGGCCCGGAGCCTGATCCAGAACCCCTACCTGTACCTGGGCTCCTACGTCAAGAGCCTCATCGCCAGCGTCATGTACTGCGTCCTGGAGCCCCTGGCCGCCTCCATCAACCCCCTCAACGACCACTGGACCCTCCGGGACTACGCCGCCATGCTCCTCGGACACATCTTCCGGTCGGTGGCCCCCTTTTTGGTCCCCTGCGTCCTCCCCATTTGGCCCTCTTTCCATCATCCCTCTCTCTCATAATCCATTCATTCACTCGTTCATACTTACACTCGTTCATTCAGTTCATCATCACATATACCTGTAACATTCACTCGTACTCCATTAATTCACTCGTTCATACTCATACTCACACTCCTTCTTCATTCAGTTAATCACATATACTCGTAACATTCACTCGTAATCCATTCATTCACTCGTTCATGCTCACACTCTTTCATTCAGTTCATCATCACTTATCCTTGTAACATTCACTCGTACTCCATTTATTCACTCGTTCATACTCTTACTCACACTCCTTCATTCTTGTAGCATTCACTCATAATCCATTCATTCACTCGTTTATACTCACACTCCTTCTTCATTCAGTCCATCATCATATATACTCATAACATTCACTTGTACTCCATTAATTCACTCGTTCATACTCATACTCACACTCCTTCTTCATTCAGTTAATCACTTATCCTCGTAACATTTACTCGTACTCCATTTATTCACTCTTTCATACTCATACTCACACTCCTTCATTCAGTTAATCACATATACTCGTAACATTCACTCGTAATCCATTCATTCACTCGTTCATGCTCACACTCTTTCATTCAGTTCGTCATCACTTATCCTCATAACATTCACTCGTACTCCATTTATTCACTCGTTCATACTCATACTCACACTCCTTCATTCACTTATCCTCGTAACATTTACTCGTACTCCATTTATTCACTCTTTCATACTCATACTCACACTCCTTCATTCAGTAGTTCATCACATATACTTGTAACATTCACTCGTAATCCATTCATTCCCTCGTTCATATACTCATACTCTCCTTCTTCATTCAGTTAATTACATATACTTGTAGCATTCACTCATAATCCATTCATTCCCTCGTTCATACTCATACTCACACTCCTTCATTCAGTTAATCACATATACTTGTAGCATTCACTCATAATCCATTCATTCACTCGTTTATGCTCACACTCCTTCTTCATTCAGTTCATCATCATAGATACTTGTAACGTTCACTCATACTCGATTAATTCACTCGTTCATACTCACCATCCTTCTTCATTCAGTTCATCATCACATATACCTGTAACATTCACTTGTACTCCATTCATTCACTCATTCATACTCATACTGACACTCCTTCATTCAGTTAATCACATACTTGTAACATTCACTCGTACTCCATTCATTCACTCATTCATACTCCTTCATTCAGTTCATCATCACATATACCTGTAACATTCACTCGTAACCCATTCACTCGTTCATACTCACACTTGTTCTTCATTCAGTTAATCACATATACTTATATTGCCCTTATCACCCCGAAGGGGACTTAGAGCAGCTTACAAGATAAATATGCATACAATCTATATATATAAAAATGCTCATGTCGTCGTGAGTGGCTTAAAAGCAAAAGAACCGCTGGGCCAATACCCACCAAATTTGGCAACAATAGTCCTCACCATACAAGGTGTGACCATCAATAATAAAAAAATAAAATAAAACTGAAAACAACTTACAAATCCTTAATAAAAGGAGAAACCACCAGAGCGCATGCGTGCAGCTGTGAGGGGAGCGCATATGCATGTAAGAGCTCCTCCATCGTCTCGTGGTGGAACTTGTGGTGGCAACTGGTAGTCTTGATATGGAAGTCCTTTCTTTTTCATTGGCAGGACCCACGGTGACCTGGTGGGTGGCCTCTTCCCGCAGATCCTGCTCTCGCTGCAGAAGGTACTGGCCGACCCAGTCCGGCCGCTCTGCTCCCATTACGGGGCCGTGGTGGGGCTTCACGCCTTGGGATGGAAGGTGAGGCTCTCTTCCCTTCCGGACAGGTGGTTCGTCCCTTGGGCGGACCCAGAAGGTTGACCGTTGGCTTTCCCATTTCTCTTCCACTCAGGCTGTGGAACGGGTCCTCTATCCGCATTTGTCCACCTACTGGTCGAACCTCCAGGCTGTGCTGGACGACTACTCTGTCTCCAATGCTCAGGTCAAGGCTGACGGGCACAAGGTCTACGGGGCCATCCTGGTGAGTCCTTAATGGAGGAACCTTCTTCAGTAGATCAAGGACACCACCTTAGAAGGTTTGGGACTCTCCTTCAAACAGGAGGCGGAGCTTAGGAGCAGCCTGGAGGGAAATGTGGAATTGCCTACCTTTAGACCAGAAAAGCTTAGGAAATAGGCCCAGATTTGTTTTTTTGGCATCCATTTTGTGTAATGGTGCCTGGAGGGAGCCATCTTAGGTTAGTTATTTCCTAGTGGAGGCGGAGCTTATAAGCAGCCTGGAGGGAAATTTGGAATTGCCTACCTTTAGACCAGAAAAGCTCAGGAAATAGGCCCAGTTTTTTGTTTTTTTTGCATCCATTTTGTGTAATGGTGCCTGGAGGCAGCCATCTTAGGTTAGTTATTTCCTAGTGGAGGCGGAGCTCAGAAGCAGCCTGGAGGGAAATGTGGAGAACCTTTGTGATTGGCTGTGAGAAAGTGGGCAGGTTCTGGTGATTGAAGGAGGAAGTTAGGAGGAGTGTGGAAGTCATTGAAGCCAAAGAGTTAGAGAGTTCGGAGAGCGATTAGGGAAGAATAGTTGGTATAGGGATTATAAACAGATCCCAGGAAAAGGACTGTTTGAGGTAAAAGGATTTTAGTCAGGAGGAAGTTAGTTTCCTGAGGGAGTTAAGAGTTTATTCTTTATTATTTACTAACTTGGGGACCTGGCGCTGCCCGGGTTATTAGAAAAAGTGGATAATGGAGGTTCTGTATGGCAAGTTTGGTCTTTATTGGTCATTGGATGACAGTTGCATTGTTTTCAGGAAGTGAGTGAAGGTACTTGAAATCCCATCATCCATGGTCCATCCTCCTTCAAACTGCAGCAGGATATAGAGTGGGTCACGGGGGCTCTGTGTGCCAAATTTGGTCTTGATCAGTCATTGGATGAGGGTGGCAGTGGTTTCAGTAAGTGAGTGAAGGTACTGCAAGTCCCATCATCCAAAGTCCATCCTCCTTCAAACTGCAGCAGGATGTAGAGTGGGTCATGGGGGCTCTGTTTGCTAAGTTTGGTCTTTATTGGTCATTGGATGACAGTTGCATTGTTTTCAGGAAGTGAGTGAAGGTACTTGAAGTCCCATCATCCATGATCCACCTTCTTCCAAACAGCAGCAGGATGTAGATAGGGCCATGGGGGCTCTGCGTGCCAAATTTGGTCTTGATCAGTCATTGGATGAGGGTATCAGTGGTTTCAGTAAGAGAGTGAAGGTACTGCAAGTCCCATCATCCATGATCCACCCTCCTCCAAACTGAAACAGGATGTAGATAGGGTCATGGGGGTTCTGTGTGCTGTTTGGTCTTGATCAGTCATTGGATTAGGATCGCAGTGGTTTCAGTAAGTGAGTGAAGGTACTGCAAGTCCCATTATCCAAAGTCCATCCTCCTTCAAACTGAAGCAGGATGTAGAGTGGGTCATGGGGGCTCTGTGTGCCAAGTTTGGTCTTGATCAATCATTGATTCAGGGTCGCAGTGGTTTCAGTAAGTGAGTAAAGGTACTGCAAGTCCCATCATCCATGGTCCACCCCCCTTAGAACTGCGTCAGAATGTAGAGTGGGCCATGAGTACTCTGTGTGCCAAGTTTGGGCCCGGTCTGTGATTTGTAGGGGCTACAATATTCTGTGGGAAGTGAATTGTGTGAAGGTACTGCAAATCCCATCATTCGTGTCCCATCCTGCCCTGAACCACACCAGGTTGTAAAGTGGGCCATTGGGCCTCTGTGTGCCAAGTTTGGTCCTGATCCGCCCTTGGTGTGGGCCACAGTCTTCTAAGGAAGTAATATTAATAATATATAAGATTCCTCTCACTTCCTTTTGTCTCAGCGCCCTACGTTCTTAACTAGGAGTCATTTGTAAGGCAAATGTTTGTAACTCAGGGACTGCCAAAGATGGCTGGAGAGGAATGCTAACACTTCCCACGGTGCTGTTCCTGCTCCGTTCCTGCAGGTGGCGGTGGAGCGCCTGCTCAAGATGAAGACCCAGTCCCTTCCGGCCCAGGCGGAGGGTGTCCGTGCCCCGGAGGGCTGCCCATGGCTCAGCCCCCTCCAGGACCCCCAAGTCGAGCTCGGCTTCGGCATCGCCAGCCACCTCCTCCAATCCGGTGCCGGCACCATCCCGGCCAACCCGCCGGACGTCCCGTTGGACGAAATCTATAAGGAGCTGTACTGCTTCTTTGGGGACAGCTTGGCCACCCGCTTTGGGACGGGCTCCGGGCCGTGCCCTCCGGACCGACCGACCAGCGGTGTCCCAAAGCCATTGGACACTAAGAAAGAACTCCCGGCCTTCGAGATGACGGCTGCGCGGAAGATGCCCCAGCTGACCGCCAACATCAGCCCCCGCGAGGAAGAGGAGGCGGTCTCGAGCGGGCGGTCAACGCTGCACCGATCCGCCAGCTTGGCCCGCGTCCGAAGTGGGGGCGGCGGCGGAGTCAGCGCGGCCCGCCACCCAGGGGTGCGCGAGGTCTTCCAGAAGTGCCGCTTCAGCCCGAGTGCCGCCCCACCGCGGTTCAGCTTTGTCATCGCCGGGCGGCAAGTAGAGCGGCGGTGCCAAGGACGGCTCTTCCAGACCCGCTTTGTCCAGCACCATGGGCCCAGCCCTGTCTCCCGCTACGCCCAGAAGCTGCCGATGATCGGCCGCACCGCCAAGACCGCCGCCAAGAAGGGGGCCCACTCCGAGTACTCCCTCTACCTGCCCCTCTGAAGGATGACTGGCGTGTACGGGCGGCTCCCTAACATCACTCCCGCTACGCCCAGAAGCTGCCCATGATTGGCCACACCGCCAAGACCGCTGCCAAGAAGGGGGCCCACTCAGAGTACTCCCTCTACCTGCCCCTCTGAAGGATGACTGGCGTGTACGGGCGGCTCCCTAACATCACTTGACCCTTTCGGAGTCGGGATCCTGTTGATGCACAATGCCCCGATATTTCTGGCCATCTGTCGGGGGGGGGGGGGATCACTGGGAATTTTCTTGAGCCCCTATTTGGGCGCCAAAAGTGTTGAGGCCCAGTGACCCAATATTTCTAGTCAGAAACAGGAGGTCTTAAAGGGAAACACTGAGAATTTTCCCGAGTCCCTGTCTGAGCCCCTGTTCGGGCGCAAAACGTTGAGGCCCAGCACCCCATATCTCTATTCTGGGGGTGTCCAAACTTTTTGCAAAGGTGGACAGATTTGGGTAAGAGGAAAATGTGTAGGGGCGGACCCATTGAGCCTGACGTTATTCTTCAAACCATTTGCATTTAATGCAAATGAACTGTTTTATGAAATTTTGTAAACGGCATACTTTTCAATTTTTTTCACACAGAAAACAAATAAATCAAAACCATTTTTTTACAAAAAAATCTCTCTCTCTTTCCTATTTGAAGACCACATAAAATGAAGAAAAAGTCTGTATGGAAGATGAAACATGTCTAAGTCCATGTGAAACATTACATATTATTTGCTATTTAAATGTTCACTTTAACGTCTAAGTTCAGTTATCTTATTCCGAAATACAAAACACTGAGGGCCGTATTAATCCAAGCATCGCACGTTCTTTCATTTTTCAACTAACCATCAAAAATTAATCGAACATACGCTATTTGAATTTGAATCGGGTATCCAAAACGAAAAAGGCCGCATTGGTCAGTATTTCAATTTTAGACTCGGATCCAAAGTACGAAATGGAAAAATGGGCTGCCGGACCGAATTTGCTTTAATTTCAATTTGTCGGGTTGACGAGAATGCGGTTTGATTGTCAATTGAAAAACAAAAGAAAAAATATCTTTTTTCTTTTTCTTTTTTTCATTTTTTAACTTAAAAAACTTTTATTCCAATTCTTCTTCCTTTTTTATTTTATTTTCCCTCTCAATTTTTTAATCTATTTCCTGTTTTTTCCTCTTTTCCAAACTTTCCTATTTGAAAATTCTTCTCACTTGATGTTCTATTTTCTTTTTTCAAGGTTTATTACAATAAAAAATTATTTAACAAAAAAGGGAAAAAAGAACAAATTTTTCTTCTTTTTTCTTTTTTTAACTTTTATTACAATTTTTCTTCCTTTTTGATATTCTTTTCTCTCTCAGTTTTTATCTATTTCCTGTTTTTTCCTCTTTTCCAAACTTTCCTATTTGAAAATTGTTCTCACTCTTTCAATGTTCTATCTTCTTTTTTCAAGATTTATTACATAAAAAAATAATTTTACCAAGAAAAAGAAATAAAATAACAAATTTCTTTTTTCTCTTTTTTCATTTTTTAACTTTAATTTTTTAAACTTTTATTACAATTTTACTTCTTTTTTTATTTCTTTAATCTCTCAATTTTTAAAATCTATTTCCTGTTTTTTCCTCTTTTCCAAACTTTCCTATTTGAAAATTGTTCTCACGCTTTCGATGTTCTATCTTCTTTTTTCAATGTTTATTCCATAAAAAAATAATTTAACCAAAAAAAGAAAGAAAATAACAAAAAAAATCCTTTTTTCTTTTTTTAACTTTAATTTTTTTAAAAAAACTTTTATTACAATTTTTCTTCCTTTTTTATTTTCTTTTATCTCTCAATTTTTTATCTATTTCCTGATTTTTCCTCTTTCCAAACTTTCCTATTTGAAAATTGTTCTCACTCTTTCGATATTCTATTTTCTTTTTTCAAGGTTTATTACAATAAAAAAATTATTTAACAAAAAAAGAAAGAAAAACAAAAGAACACACGATACACAGATAGAAAAACTGAGTGCATATTCCAAACTCTGGATTGGATCATCTTTAAGGCTTCCCACCAAAATGGAACTATAGAGGAGAGTCTACTGAACAAGCCAGTACCTGCCACATACGTTGCTTAAGTCGCATTGCGCGACCGTCAATTGTGAAAATATGTAAATGTTGTTTTGAGTGTGTTCCCTGATGTATAAGCATCATTTTCTTAATATGTGTTCTCTTCTGTTAAATGGGGAAAAGATAAAACAGCAAATATTTATTTTAATCAATGAACAAATTACATTGGAATACATTGATTTTATTTCCTTATTGATTACTTATGTTTGGGGATCTCATAGGAAGGAAACGAAGTTGACCTCAAATAACAGCAACAGAATAAATTCTCCAAATAAGAGGCAGGCTCATACTTGTTAGCCCCACTACTACTGATTCAATATAGGTGGATCGTGCTACTCTAGAATTGGAGGGCACCCCAGAGGCCATCTAGTACACCCCTCAGTTGCTCACAACCCTGTGATGCACCCCAAGAAGGTTTGATTCCCATGCAATTTCATGTTTTGAGGCTAGCAAAGTAGGCACAAAAGATGCCGGCAGAAATGGTACGCTCCTAATATCTGGAGAGGCGGCACATGTCGCATTGGCAAGCCTTGGCCGTGAAGAGCTCCACTGTTTCGCGCAGGGTCTCCCCGCAACGCAGTCGCATCTTGACCTGGAGGAGAAAGGAGAGGAAGACTGAGAGAGAGCCCTCAGTGTGAGAGAAGCTTCTCTGTGTGAGAGAACGCCTCAGTGGAAGAATAGGTCTCAGTGGGATTTGGACCAATTGGACTTCTCAGACCAATTCTCCCACTGAGGAGTTCTTTCACACAAAGAGGCTTCTCTCACACTGAGGGCTCTCTCAGACGGAGGTGTTACTAAGCACAATATTTTCCTCAGGAGGCTTCTCTTTGTACTAAAACAATTTGGTTGCACTCTTTACGAGACCTATTCTCCCACTGCGGCGTTCTCTCACACTGAGGGCTCTCTCAGACTGAGGTGTTACTAAGCACAATATTATCTCTTCCGTAGGAGGCATCTCTTTGTACTAAAACAATCTGGTTGCATTATTTACAAGACCTATTCTCCCACTGAGGCGTTCTCTCACACAGAGAGGCTTCTCTCACACTGAGATGTTACTAAGCACAATATTATCTCTTCCTTAGGAGGCTTCTCTTTGTAGACAAACAATCTGGTTGCACTCTTTACGAGACCTATTCTCCCACTGAGGCGTTCTCTCACACGGAGGCTTCTCTCACACTGAGATGTTACTAAGCACAATATCATCTCTTCCTTAGGAGGCTTCTCTTTGTAGTCAAACAATCTGGTTGCACTCTTTACGAGACCTATTCTCCCACTGAGGCGTTCTCTCACACAGAGAGGCTTCTCTCACACTGAGATGTTACTAAGCACAATATTATCTCTTCCTTTTTTCTGATAGTCATGGGGGTTCTGTGACGGAAGTTAGCTCAATACTATCATTGGTGGAATTCAGAATTCTCTTGGATTGTAGGTGAACTATAAATCCCGGCCTTGGGAAGGTGGAGAACCACTGCCTTCAGGACCCCCACCTTCTGCATCTTGGCGATGGTGCAGCACTGGGAGACGGAGGTGACGTTGCGCTGGAAGCCGCTGGCCAAGAGGACGGAGTACTTGGAAGGGAAAGCGCTGGACTCGCAGTAGCCGACGCAAGCCTGGAGGGTTTGACTGGCCCGGCAGGTACCTTGGCGGTCACTCTTGAGGGTCACGTTGAAGGCTGCGGGCAAGAAGAGGTGGCCAATTTCTACCTTCACACCTTCCTCAAGCAGACAAGAGTTCTTTCTCCCACCTGGGACATTCTTCCACAGGGATATAAACCCATTTCCCTAGTTTCCAACAGGCGTCACAACCTCTGAAGGTGCCTGCCATAGATGTGGGTGAAACGCCAGGAGAGAATGCTTCTGGGATACGACCAGACAGCCCTGAAAACTCACAGCAACCAAGTGTGAGGTTGTTATCTGCCTTGAGTCCCCAAGGGGAGAAAGGCGGGGTACAAATAAAGTTAATACTACTACTACTAATGAACTTATTGAAAGGGTCTTTGAGTGAAATTTGCAAATGCTAAGCAAGTGACTTTGAATGAAATTAACAGCCAAAGAGAAATATACCCTTTCTCTATAGAAAAAGAACAACACACAAGAAAATGTTGTTAAGAAACAAGATGTGACATGTAGAGGTCGGAAGTTGTGTTGTGGTTAAGTTCTAAGGTTGTGGTTAAGCGCAGAGTCTGCAGGTACAAGAAGGTACTTTCTATCAAAATGTCAAGGGAGGGGGCTGGAAAGAGAGTACTTTCCATAACAAAAATGTTCTTGTTTACTTGAGGTTATATATCGGTGGTCAAAAGCCAAGGGGATGCGGCAGTCACTCGAAGGGTGGCATCTGCGTATGCTGCCAGGCTGTCCGTCTTCTTCATGAAGAAACTAAAATAAACCTTGTTTTTGATCTTTTTTTGGGACTGTCTCCTTCCTTACGTGTTCCCGTGATGTGGACCTAAGAAGACCCAATTTAGGGTCTCTAACAAACTTACAGTGGAGGTGGCAACCAAGCCCGTGGCCCGTAGCCAACAGGAAGGGAAGGACGAAGGCCAGCATGTCCATCACGAATCCCTGAAAAAAGGGACAATATTTTGATCCCAAATATTGGTATAAGAGCGGAACAGATGGAATTGAGAGAGAGATACAGAACTAAATGCAATTAATGTTAGCGCCTAGCAGAAGGATCGCAGAAGCTAAGAATAATGGACTCTGGAGTCACCGGTAAAAAGCAGGTTTCAGCTTTACTTGAGCAGTTCAAAAATCCAACACACACCATCAGCGAACAGACGCGAAGAACGCAAAGCGAAAGAGATAGGCACTAAAGACAAACTGCAGCCGGAAAGGAGTTATCTCTGACACTCCCTAATTCTGCACACAGCAAGGACTCAGGGTCACATTCTCACAGCTCTTTTGTGTAAACATACATCCTGGCCACACCAATCCGTTACAATCACTATTCTACTACATAAAATTACATTTAAACATACATCATACATGAAATGCACACTGACAATTAATAATAATAACAATTATTACGTTATTAATAATTTGTTAATAATGCATTATTAATTCATTTCCATCATCATTATTAACTTATTATTAATTAATATCTATTATTATTATTATTAACCCACCGTAGGAATTGAGAGAGACATGGAACTAAATGCAATTAATAATAATAATAATAATAATAATAATTTATTAATTATTATTAATTCAATTCTATTATTATTAACTCACACTAGGAATTGAGAGAGACATGGAACTAAATGCAATTATTATTATTATTATTCATTTATTTCTATTATTGTTATTAACTCACATTAGGAATTGAGAGAGATGTGGAACTCAATGTGATTTTTATAATAATAACTATTATTAATTTATTAATGATTATTAATATATTTTTCATTATTAATTTATGTCTATTATTATTATTATTATTATTATTATTAACTCACCTTAGGTGCTTTGGCAGTTTGAAGGAACGTCCGCTCTCTCCGCCGTCTCTTCCAAGCTGGGAAGGCTCTTACCTCCTCC